TTTATTTATTTATTTATTTATTTATTTATTTATTTATTTATTTATTTATTTATTTATTTATTTAAGACGTAACTGATATATATGGATGGGAAGAGAGTATAGAGTTGCACACTTTTAAATTACCGAGTGAAATTGGACGCTTCGAGTCAGCGTTGCAGACTGACCAGAGGGAAAGGGGAGGAACAGTGGGACATTTTCAAAGTTTTCAAAAAATGACTTTATTTTTTTAAATTAAATTTTGTTGGATTGTGTGAAAGACGTTTAAAAGAATGGTGCAGGTCTCATTTTCGTTGAAAACTGATTTTCCAAAAATTGCGAAAATTCACATTGTTTCCGGCATCTTGGTACTACAGTTATGAAGATAGAGATATTTCCCTCAATGGAATTTGTTCCTGAAGATAGATTTTGAAATGTCATGAACATTTTTCCGAGAATTTGGGTACTTTTCGCGTAATTTTGGGTGAAAATTCGGGCGTGAAAGCCCGTGCTGTTTTAGCACCACTTGTAGTTTCATTTGAATTTAATCAGCAATGTACGTTGTAAGTGTATATCCGGAACGTTACAAGATGTGAAGAGATATTTATATTTATTGCGGTGTGTAAGTATAACGATGGTAATCGTCTACTGCTGATTGACACGTGCTTGGGGGTGACGCTTAGACGCTGCAGCAAAACAATATGTAGACTTTTCTGTTGTCTTTAATTTATCAGAAGCCTCTCGTGGTCCCACTTTGAAACTTACCAAACTTACGTAGACCACTTCAGAGATTAAGGTATTTTTTACGAGTTTATAAATTGTCGAGTTATGAAAGAAATTTAAAAATAAAATAATTCCAAACAATATATTAAAAAAACACTTAAGATTTCAATAAATACATCAAATGAAAGAGCATTTAAGCACGAATGTAGCAGCTAAGTACGGTTCTAGATGTAGATTCGAAACGACGCATGTCATGTGAACACTCTAGCCCGGAGTGTACAATGCCTAAGCGATCCCGGCTAAATCGACATCTGGCATTTAGGAATGGAAAAAATTTGCTTACATGTTTCTTTTAGGAGGTCTACGTCTATTGAAGAAATATAATTCGCAAATTATTGTACGGACATTGAAATAATGCCGCCAGAATTTTCGTTGCCAGATGCCATTGGTTAAGCGACGTGAGCATTTTTTCGAAAATTTTGAAAATTAGCATTGTCCCGAAAAAAATATTTGGGAAAAAATGAAAACCCCGTGTTACATATTTTTGCTGATATACTCCATAGAAAAAACGTTTAAAATCTGGAAATTGTGGCTTCATGAAATTCTGAGAGACTATTTAGCCAGTGTCTAATATTAATTTGTTATATTGAAATGATTTTACTGGCGCATGGAAGGTTGTGTGAGTTTCTTTTTCTAATGACCGATATTTTATCTACTTTAAATATCGCTCCTTTTCCATGGACTGCAAAGGATGAAACACGGACATCACCACGTACTCTATGAAAGATTTCATGGAACTACTTCGAAATACAATAATTTAATATCACTTCATTGGGTCGTACTGTTCTCGGAATGAGAAAGTTTATGAGGTTATTTCAAGGAGCGGAACGAATATTCAAATACTTGAAGCTGAGAAAATGACTACTTCTGAACAAAGCGCTTGACTTAATATGCGCTAATACTTATCTGTTATTGCGATTGTTCTCCGGCATGCATCAGCTGTTAACGCGCTTCTTAAACAAAAATATAGGAAATAGTGGGGATGTATGAGATACACAAACTATAAGTGAAAACACTAATGTCAACAACTATTGATACTTTATTAGACATATGCGGGGAAGGATCGCAGTTCGCAAATTTTCAGCTGACAGTGTAGCTGAATGGGAGTGGATACTAATGTGACTACGTGTCACGTGATCTTAGTAGACTGTTAGGTGTCAAAAATGAGAGTGATTTTGAAGTGATATTTCTTGATACTTTATTTTTTGATGATGGTTTTAGAAAGTTTGTGTGTTGTGTTTCGATATATTTTATGAGTGAAACACAAACTGAATCATAAAACAATAGGAATTCTCAGAGTTCATATACCATGGCTCTTCGTAAGGTTAAAGGCAATTTGGAACGTATGTTTGACAAAAATTTGACAGATTTAGTGAGAGGCATACGTAATAACAAGGATAATGAAGTAAGTGAACCAATTTAAATGATCGTTTTGTTTCTTGAGTTCGTTTCAATTCTGATCTGTTGATTTTAAGACGAGTTCAGTATGTTGTGCTAGTGCTCTTTCGTTTTATAATGAAACCGAATTAACAGTACATTGTACGTTTTATTGTACAGTTTTGCAGTATATTTCTTTTGTAATGAACATATTGTTTACTGAAATGTGCCAATACAGATTTGATATTTTGCGCCCTAATATTGTTCAATTTAATGTTATTCTTTATGGAGTGTCACCCAACAATAATCACATCATCTGCTTTGCTTATTTCCAGGCCAAATATATAGCGCAGTGTATTGAAGAAATTAAGCAAGAATTGCGCCAGGACAATATAGCAGTGAAATCTAATGCAGTTGCAAAATTAACCTATGTATGAAGATGATTTTACATCCATGTTAACGTTTTTCTTGTTTACCTTCTATTTGTAGAATACATAAAGAATAGAATTAAGTATAGTGTTATGTATTATTGTAATTTGTAGTCTCATTTATAGTTTAGGTATTTTGGACAGGCATGCATACCTAGTAAAGTGATAATATCTTTGTATGTATATCTCTGCATTTGCTATTTCTTTTTTTTTTTTTTCAGTTACAAATGTTGGGGTATGACATAAGTTGGGCAGGATTCAATATTATTGAAGTAATGAGTTCATCGAAATTTACCTACAAGAGGATTGGTTATTTAGCATCTTCACAAAGCTTTCATGCTGACACCGAGGTAAACTTTCTGTTCTTAATTTTGAAGTTAGGGTTATAAAAATACTAATGTGCATTAAAAACGTCTTTTTGTGTTTCAGACAATTTACAATTTTAATTTTTAATGTTGTTAAAATGCATACATGTGAAAAGGCTGGCATATTCTTTGTTGGTAATAGAAAATTATAAAGACTAAATTTGTTTCATTTTATAGCAGAATTGTATTCTAAGATAATTTTTGTCCACCTAAATTTGCTATTAAATGTTTCTGAAAAGTGATTAATAAGATATCTGTAAATAGCCAGTTTCCACATGTTTCACAATATTTTACCTGTGAATATTTACATACTGTATGTACTTTCATTTTTATGTACACTGGCATTCACTGAATACAGTATAATTTATTTGTTATGGTAGTAGTGAGATGGAACAAATGTAAGTTCATAAAATTAATTGAATTAAATGAAAATGAATTAAAAAAAAGAAATTTAAATTTATAAGTTAGTAGGAAACAAGGAGAAAAAAAAATTCTTTGAAGTAGGTTTCTAAGGCAGTTATGCAATTTGTCGTTTATGTATTTTTTGTTTAGCCATAGTTTTTGCAAACATACCTTTGCTTAAAGGTTTCTTCTTTGGCCCTAAAAGGTATATTCATTCAATAAAATCATGGTAATTTAACAATATGCAGATAATGGTTCCAAACATGTCAGAACAAATAAGTGGTGCAACACTTTAACAGTGCCAATAAACCTAGCACCTAAATCATACGTAGGATTCTTTCCAAATATAGAAATTCTTTGAGCAAACTGGCTCAACTTGAGACCCTGTAAATTTGAGAGGATTCTTTTAATTTTATGGTGTATTTTTTGCATAGCTTATATGTTTTTTAAACATTCTCCAAACCGCTCCAAATTGTTTTTTTAAGGAACACTGTATGCTTATAAATTTGTCTAAAAAAATAATAAATGAAAAATTTGCCATGTTATGTCAATACCTAATGTCTACATGTATGTTGAAAATTATTGTTTTTTGCTATCTGATGCTCTTTTCTTTTATTTTTAAGTCCGTTTTTCATTTTGTGTAAATTAACTTTTTGAAAAGTCACGTATGAAGCTTGTAAAAATCAAGGGAACTCCTTATCAGTCCACCCTATTTAATATCATCGATGAATGTTATTTGCTTACAATTTAGTTAACTTGAACTGCTTTTAAGTGAAACATTTATTTAAATATTAGAAAATGTATTATTTCGTGAAAAATTATTTAATATTTTTAAAGTGATGTTCCCTATTATTTCTTCCTCATAGTTTTCCTCCTTAGTGCATAGTAGGTGGTTGTAATTATATTCTTGATTACAGTGCAATATGAGTTTGAATTTATTTTTAACTCTGTTCTTCCTACTTTTTATACCTATTTTATAAGAATTATATGTAATGTTTAAATTGGTGAATTTCAGGAGGATTGTATTGTTTTCTTACAACAATTATTTAAATTGTCATATAGTTGTCTAAAATAGTGAGTAACATCAATAAGATTACTTGGTATTGAACAATGGTTAAATTTGTTCAAGAAATAGTTGATTGTACAAATGTAATTGTTTTGGTAGTAATCAATGAAACCTTTTCTGTTTAAAGATAATTTTTTAAATCTTGTTATGATGTGTGAAATGCAAAAATTAATTCCTTCTTTAAGTTTTATAATTTAATTTCTATTTAAGAGTAACAATTGCTAGTTCTTTCTGAATGTGTATTATGTAACGAAATTGTTTTGGAAATTAATTGCCTTATTTTGTTTCTCTGTTGCAGCTTCTCATGCTTACAACAAACATGATTCGTAAGGATTTGAATAGCCAGAATCTCTATGATGCTGGATTGGCTCTTTCTGGTCTATCATGCTTTATTAGTGCTGACTTATCACGGGATCTGGCTAATGATATTATGACTCTTGTAAGTAGAATGTTGTAAGCAAGTAATATAGAGAAACTATTGTAATTTGCAAGGAAAAGTACTGATTTTTCCTCAGAAAAACTCGTATTGTGGTTCCCTGATCCTAAACTAATGGACTTTTCTTTCTTGTATATGTAGTAAATTACCTACGTCAACATTCTGTTTAGTCAGATTCAATGTTTTGTGGATACTTGATATCAAGAATTTGGTTTCCAGCAAAACATCTGTCTGTTTGTCTGTCTGACTATGACCAGTGTTAGCACCTAAACCATGCACAGGATTTTCATCAAATTGAATATTTGCGTATTGATCTGAAATCTAAACTTCACAATTATTAACGTCCTATGTACTAATTTTATAATTGTTAATTCTGCCCATTATTTATCTATCTACATTTAACATAATCTCAAAAATGTTCTTGTTTCAGTTAACATCAACCAAACCGTATTTACGCAAAAAGGCTGTGCTTATGATGTATAAAGTATTTTTGAAATTTCCGGAAGCCTTGAGACCTGCTTTTCCAAGATTGAAGGAAAAATTAGAGGATCCTGATTCAGGTATATGATGCTTGTTTTCGATCATCGTGGATGTGTGGAGGCTTTGCAAACAGAGTTATTCCTTGTAAATCCCATTGTGTGTGCCCAATGAGGAGATATAAGACTCCACGATCACTTGGAAGAAATAATGAGACTGGCTTACATTGTAAAAGGATGGAAGGACACACATCTAACATATGTAACTAAGAAGAAATGTGGGCATAGTTTGTGTTTATAAAATGTGAGATTTGATATAAAATTATTTCATTGACGTAAGAAACTTAAGATAGTTTTTATAACATGAAGACGAAAACCTGATGTTGAAAAAAAAATGGTTGGAAATTAAATTCCAAGTCTTAAACATGTGAAATTGTAATAAAATTCTATGAACAACGCACATTTTTAAATGATTTATTAACTAGTAAATAAAATTTAATTTTATATTTCTAGTGAAATATTTTATACAGAGTTCTAGACCACTTTATTTCAGTTTCAGTAGGTTAAGTTAATTACTGTGAAAGGTTAGTTTTAATAATTTGTGCAAAATGGCTCGGTGACCAAAAATGTTTGTGACAGTATGGTTTAGAAGCACTTAAAAATCCTCTCGTTTTATTTCAGTAGTGTAGATGAGTTTTGTGGCTCTCACTCAATCAATATTTATAAATAAGGTCTCCAAAAGAAAGAGCATTTCACAGAAGCTTGGTGAATTGCACCTTAATTAAAAATATGAAAGATTTGTAGAAAAATTCACATCTAAATATTCATGTCGCATGCAATTCCAACACTGAAACAGGATTGTTGAAACCTTTATAGTTAGATAACTACAAAATTAAGCTTTCTAGGGCCTTCAAAACTGCAAATTTGAGGCCGAAGGTCTTAAATGTCAGTGCTTCGCAGTTCTACCCCATCTGTTCAGAGACTTGCAGAATCTGCAACTTGTAATCAAGATAAATAAGAATAGTTTGTATTGATAAGGGTGTATTGTACTATTATGTTAAAATACGTTCAGTTAATACAATTACAAGTACCCTTGTAGAACAAGTGATGGTGGATAAGAGGGTTTTGAAGAAAAATGTACATTATGGGCTTAATATAGAAATAATGGGTTAAGAAAGAGGATGGGGTGTAACATGCAAGAGTTGTCACACTGGTACACTAGTAGAAAATAAATCCATAATGATAAGTGCTTCATTGTAAAGAATTCTGTTACCTTGTAACTATTAAAATCTAATTTAAATATGATCTACTACAATTGTATAAACATTTCAAAAATATTTTTTTAAGATTGAAGGTGTCTTCGTTAAAATATGAGATACTTCAGATAAAGGAAACGTAAATAAATATAAAAATTTACAATTCAAAAATACATTAAGTGGTGGTGCTGTCATTTTGAATAAACAGTGTTTGAGAAAATTATGAATTTGCTGAAGAACAAAATTCAAAGAATAACAAGAGTATGTTTGTATGCCTAAATAGTCTAAAGTGCTATTGAACAATTCCCATCCATATTCATCTCAAAAAGAAAAACTATTGCTAAAATTTGTCAATTAAAACTAGTAATATTGAAATTGGGTTTCCTTTGTAGTGTTATGAACAAAAAAATAATTGAATGGTGGATGTGGGGGAGGGTATGAGTAATTTTTGGAGAAGAATGTGAAAAACTGTCCAGTGCCCTTTCTGATCACGTATTTATGTATTTATTTATTTATTTACATTGACATAAGTCTGTAAGATCATGATTATTTTTTTCTGCTAATAATATGAAAACATGGCTTTTACTCACATTTTGCTTAAATGTTTTTGTAATGATTGTGTTATTTTGTTCCTAAGAACTCTAACATATCCATTAAGTCCTTTTCTGCACTGAGTTTATGCCCAAAAATCATAAGAGGGTGTCTTTAAAGTCACTGAGTCTGGTATGAGATTGATTCTGTTACTAGTTTTCCATCTTTCTTGTCACCCGAAGTTTGTTTAGTTGTCACCCATGAAGTCAGCACCAAAGTCAGAGAGGTCATCTTTGCCATGAATGACATGAAAATATTTTTTAACCAATCACTTTTTTATTACAACTTGAATCTGTTAAAGTGCTATAGCAAACAATTTTCGTTTCCTTTCTTCACTTATACCAAAATCTTTGTCATGAGGAAAATAACTGTGGTTTGTGATCAGAAATTTAAATTCTGTGCATTCATAAATACCTTAGCCAATCAAATCTGCGAGTACTGTCAACATTATGTGGTTTTTGTTTTGGCCTACACAGTTGTCGCACCAAACCACAATGAACCTTTTATGAGTGATACAACTGTTCATCACTTTATGGAACGAGGAGGCTTTTTCATTACATTCCTGGAAGCAATTCCTTAAGATTACCGTGAACTGAACCACACAAGACGCTTTGAGCATTTATACCATTCTCAGTGCAGCTGGAGTTATACCTAGCACTGTGTTGTGAATGTTCTCAATGAACTACAACATTTGCGATGCAGAATTACATCCTTTACCTTTGCATGGGCATATGAACATCCACTTATTTCCAAGTCAAATGTGAAAATTTCATTTTGTGGCACTTACAGACTTCCCCATGTCTGCATTTCAATTAATGGACAGTAACAATAACGTGTTCTCATGGTCGTTCGTTTTAGCAATTGATAAGCTGCAGTAGAAAAATGAAAGAAAAATATTCAATATTATTGTCAGACAAGACGTCTATTTCTTTTATTGAATCCTGTTTATATAGGGCTAACGTGATTGTATTCCTCTACTCTTTGGATAATATTCTGTCCCAATAATTCAATTTTTTTATTATTTTTTTTTTTAATAATAATAATAATAATGATAAAATTCTGGAGGTTATTTCCTTAAAGTGTAATCTTTCACTTTCAAGGTGTCCAGTCTGCTGCTGTTAATGTTGTTTGTGAATTGGCACGAAAGAATCCTAAGAATTATCTAAGTCTTGCCCCAGTTTTCTTCAAACTGATGACTACATCAACCAATAATTGGATGTTAATAAAAATTATTAAATTGGTGAGTCAATTTTCTTTTTCTTCTTGATTATATGTTACTTTTCCCCCCAAATTTTATTGCAGATCTTTCAAATTCGGGTCATTGTTAGAAACAATCTGTCACCTGCATTTGTGTATGTAATAGACTAAATAGAATACATTTTAGAGAAGAATGGAGATTATTTTCATACTAAGTTAGTAAGCCGCCTCTATTAACTTGTCCTTGAAGGAAATGTTGTTTCTTGTGAAAGGTTATGTGGCCTAACCAAAATGTCGGCTGAATTATTTCCTACTAATAATATGATACATATAAAGTTTGATCACTAGTCTCTTTATTCCATGTGACATCTTCATGGTTTTATAAAGAAAGTTCCATTAAGTGCACTTTTTTTTTATAAGGAATCACTTTGAAACAAAAATATTAAGATTAATTACCTACTCCATTTAATTGTTTGATAATGAGATCTGAAACTTTGTCATTTAAGCCAGTTATTAAGTTAATAATGTGAGAGGTGATGTGCACTACAGAAATTCTGTGAATTAGGAGCTAGAAGGTTCAGGATCTGATAATAGCGGATTTTTGACAATAAAATTTGCTGGGTCAACCAGGGTAATTGCAGGATAATTGTAGATGCTGACTGCTCTGTTTTGGCTTTTCTACTGTTTCTTCTGAAAAATTCCAGGGATATTCTAGATTAGTATCTCGGCATCAAATCTTGGACCTTGTGTGCTCTTTACTTTTCATATGGGTCCTATTCCCAACCTTTGGGCCAGATGTTAGTCTATCTACTGCCGTCTAGCCTTTGGGCTAGACTCTTTTAATAATTATAGTATATTATCAGCCTGTAGAGTTTTAATAAATTATTAGGCAAGAATGTGTGTGAAATTCTTTCAGTTCAGTTCATCTAAGCAAATGAAGTTTCAAAACACACAGACTGTCGAGATAATAAAGAATTTAAAAATTAGTATACTGGCACATTTAAAGTTTAATTGATTTAATATCACGTTTTAAATTTTAATTGTATTGTTCTACTTTTTGAAACAAATGTTTCCGTATTTTACTAAAAGGTACAAAAAGACCAGCGTTAACTTTTTTAAGGTTACTTATCCCCTGTAAGTGGAAATGTTTGTAAGTTTTTAACTTGGGTTTTTCCTGCAATCAAGAGTAATTTTACAGATTTTAACGTATGGCAGTGATAGTCGATTTTTTTATTATTGAATTGAAATTTGAATTATAATAACATTTGTGTTTAATGTGTCCCTTAGCATCAATTTTCAACTCTTGAGTGTGAATTAAATTGTGTCAGAAAATTCTGAAATTAACATAACTTATTGTTTTGATGGTTTGCAATATAATCAAAGGTTCATGAAAAGATGTGATGGTGCAAACTTTTGACACTTCTTGCTGAAAGCTGCTTTATTAAGCAGCATAAACATGTTAGTTGTACATTTTTTCATTAGATTCGTCACATCCTCTGTTCTTAATAAAGAGGTGTGCTTAAGATTGAGTAAGAGTAATAGGTAATGAGAAGACCTGCAAAGATAAAACAAAATTGACGATCTGAAAAGAAAAACATTGTTGAAATTGAGTGTGTTAAGTAAAAATAAAAATGCCCCTTTGATGATTAAAATGTTTAATATTTTTGAAGATTGCAGAAGGATAAAAATATATCACAACATTTTGGAACATTTTCTTAAAAATTGTTTTTATTTTTTTCATACTTTTACACAAAATGTTAGATATTTGAGTGAAATCTTTTTGTATATTTGTTTATAGAAATAATTTGAATATATAGCCATTTTATTAAAACAGTGTTTAGGCCCTCATGCAAGTTGAGATTTTTGATAAATACGATAAGGAGATAAGAGTATAAGGAGATTGGGTAGATAAATAGAAAATAGCTTTATTTTGGGATGTATCAACCTCGTTGTGCTATTAGTGACCACAAATACAGTTACGATTTCAGTGATTAATGGTATACGTCACAGTACTTAAAAAAATGAGTTGATAGAGTATATGTAATTATCAGAACCAACCAACTTATAGACTTTCTTAAAGATGGCTTATGAGAATATGTGTTTTAATATAATCGTGAAGTGTATGTTCTTCAATGATTCTTCTCAACAAAGATGTGTGTATATTAATGGTTTGTTGAGATGATTAGAATAAGTTAAAAATTGTAGATGTATTATATTTCTGGTCTACTCTCGGTATTCTGTAATATTAGTGTTATGGGTTTCTCTGGTATTAAGAAAAGACTGAATAGTTGCTATTTCAAACTTTTGTGGCTGGATTGACCATGGTGTGGTCCAGTTTAACTTAAGGTGTATGAAATATTAAAATTGGTGAACAAAGTAGCATCTGGATAAATATTAACAGACCAGTGCTCTCATCCTTAGGTTTTGAATGAACTTATGCAATAGAAATACTAGGAATCATCAGTAGCTGACATTTAGAAAATTTCTCTTGTTTTGCAAATTACAGTTTGGTATTATGACTCACATTGAGCCAAAAATTGGACGCAAACTGACTCAGCCATTAATAGATCTCATCTCCAGGTAAAGGCCCCCGATATGTAACCTCCTCCACCTGGTAGTGGACCTTGCTTATCTGTATGGTGTTATGCTTTGTCATTTCAGTTTGGTGCCCTCACCCCTTTGGAACCTCGTCTCGGTAAAAAGTTGATAGAACCTCTCACAAATCTCATTCACAGGTAAAGATTTTGTGTAATATTATCATTTGTCAGCACATTAGTCGCTAGAGAAGTGTTTTAGGATAAAGCATGTAGAAATCGTGTTGGTTTTCCATGGTATGCATCAGCTAGATGCCTGTAGTTGATTGTATGAATAATTTAAAAAGCTAGAAAAAATGATTAAATGAAAAAGTATAGAATTTTTTTTATGATAGGGGGTGGATTAATAATGTGTTTTTTTTTTTAAATGTTTTTTATAGGGTTGTTTTAGTTTCACGTTCTTAGGAAGTGTGATTGTTTATGAATTAACAATTTAAAAAAATTAAGTATTAGATTGGGTAATCAGTGTAATTGTAGACCTGAAGTAAATTATGATCTAAGTGCCTTTTTCAAAGGTTTGAGATAATAATGTTTTTTCCTCAAAAATAACTTTTTAAATCGTTAATACTTCATATTAAAAATAATCATTTAAATTAAGTCTAAGTACAAATTTTACAAGTGATATCTTTATTAAATCTCATTCCGTTTTAGAGATTTTTAGTTTTTAAATCTTAAAATGAAAACCAACCAATGTTCAGAGTATCAAATGTAAATAGTGACCTAAGTGCCACTCAGTTAATGTAGTCTGGGTGCCTAAAATGTTTTTATAATAAAGGAGTGTTTGTTTTGAATATTTTGCACACTGTTACTTTACACAAAAAAATAAATCAGGTAAACACAACATGAATGCAAAGCAAGAACAATGTTATAAACACAACAATGCTATTTGTGTGCACACAACACTTAGATCATAATTCACAATTTGCTGCAGGGCACATACAGCTCACATGTTCTTTTGGGAATGATCTGAACTTCATTACACAGATTTGGCTCTTATATCAGAATATATATCAAGTGGCTTGGCCCATAGACCATAATTCTGGTTATAACTCAAAAAATTGAAAAAATGGCACTTTAATCAAAATTTACTTTAGGTCTTCAATTAAGTAAATACAAAAACCAATTAAGCAAGTTATGTTCATTTTATTTTCATTGAAAAGTCTACTTCAAAGAAATAATGAAAAATGTTTTTGAGATCATCTAATAGTGTTAATTCTGTTTCTGTACTAATATGTGGATGCAGTGTAAAGTTTAAATCAGTTTAAATTACTATTGAAATCGTGTATGGATATAGTAGATAACTAAAAATATTTATTATTTTGGTTTTCTTTCTTTTTAAGCATGGGATCAGAATCTTTTGTACATATCTTAATATTTTTCTAAAATCCGATGTTCATTTCAGTACGAAACAGTGTGTACAAAGTGCATGATTAAAGTATGTCTGAAACATTTTGTGTCAGTTTATAGATACATTTTTTTCATGTCTTCCAAATGGGCTACTGAATTAAAACATTTTTTAAAATTGGATAATTGTATCAATATTTTACTGAAACATTGTTTATGCAGAAAATTAGTGTTCATCTCATTAATAAATTTCCTATTTTCTTCTAGCACTTCTGCTATGTCCTTATTGTATGAATGCATCAACACCGTTATTGCAGGTAAATTATTTATATTAATACTAATCATGTCTTTTTAAATTTGATATCAGATGAATTGAAGAGTTGGATGGAATAATGGCTCGGATTAAATCATTCCCTTTCTTGGCTTGCGATCTTTATTGAAATGTATTGTAATCCATGAATATGAATTACTTTATAGTAATTGAAATAAATGACATTAGAATACAGGAAAATACAAACAAGGTGGTGCAGAAGCAATGGGTCCATTGAACTACTTGCAATGTTTATCATGAACCTACTAATTCATTGTACTGTGTTCTCTAGTTCAGTGAATCTGTATAATTCATTATTGTTATGTTAACACAAGAGTTTTAAGTTTGAATTTTCTTGTACTAGACTAAACGATAGAATGTTTGAATTATCGTACTGGACTAAATGATAATAATGATGAGAAAGAAACTTGTTCTGGAAATTCATTTTTAATCCAATTCAATGTAGCATCATTTTCTTATATAAAATGTGTATGAAGGAGAATGTATTTATTTTACCTTTTTAATTTCTAAGTGTCCTAAACATGTACCTCATGTAACAAGTTTACTATTTTCTCCAGAACATCTTAAAACATGGAAAAAATAAAATATCATGGAAGTTTTTGGGGGTTCTTCTGACCAACTCTTCAATTTAGGGAGGGATTATACCTCTATGATTGCAAATTTTAACTGCCACATCCATTATCTTGAGTGGTTTAACTGAATGATATGTACAAAGTGTGAAATTAATCCTTACTTTGACGATATTTGGGCTGTTTTAAAGATACAAAAGTTTATAAAATTTGTAATGATCTTCAAAATTTATGAAAGGTAATTATATTTTTAAGCATTTTATATATTTATTAATTAATCAATGAATGAATTAATTAACCTTTTAATTTTAAATTCTTATTTAAACAGCTACAATCCCATCACATATGTTTCTGAATGTGTGTGCAAACTTGAAGTTGTCTTAATCAGGCAGGTGCAAATGCAATCCACAGCAAATGGCCTGCTTAATGGTCCGTTTCCCAATATGTCAGTTGTGCATAAATAAAAAATTATGCATCCTAGAGCTTTAAAATCCAGACTTATAGGACAAACATCAGGATCTTTTATATATTAAGTTTGTTTTATATAAAATAAAAATATATGCCTAGGAAAGATGACTGATTTTTGTTCTCTTTTATAAGAAATCATGGTCACAAAAGCCTAGTGTATTATTGCTGGAGAGGAAATTACCCCAAGGGGTGCATCGAACAGATTTAAGATGATAAACAGACTTTTAGTTCTGTGACTTTGTAGTACAGATTGTCAGAAACAGTGGTAGTTGGGTTCCTATGTGAAGGTATTTTCCCTTTGAAACAATGATTTCAAAAAATTTTGTTTTATTTTCATTTTACAGTTTTTTTGCAAAAGATCTTTGCGGCCCTTTTATTGCATTTTTTAGAAATTTGTTCTTCTGGGTACTCTAGCTATTCAGAACTTCTCGTTTTATCCAACAGGGAAGGCACTGCATAATATGCCACCATAACATTTATAAATGTATATTTTAAGACAAAACGATTAAATTAAGTTTTTGGATTTCCATTTTAATTGCACTTAATATGCAAGGGAACATGTGAGGAGAATATGCAAAGAACATACGAGGGGAATATATATGGAAGCATGCACGGAAACACGTGGTGGTCAGGTGTAGTAAAGAATTGAGTGAATCTTTGCATTAAATGCCGAACACAAAAGAAATGTCTGATTTAGTGCATACAATCTGACAAGTTGCCATATATACTAGTATAGAGGAGGTTTTTCGGCAGTAGATGTTGGAAACATCATGATATTTTTGTCTGAGGTTACACATTTGAGCAACTCTGGAACAATGCATTTTCAAATCTTTACTGTAATATTTTTTCTTCTTCTTTAAGGAGACCATTCACAAAGTGTTGATTTCATACTTCTGTACATAAAAGAAGCCAAATATTGTAATATCTAGATATTGAACTTTTGGCATTATTTTATTGACAAAGATATTATTGTGTGTTTGCAATAAGAAAAATAATATAATAATTCCTAATAGGAAAATCTGTTTTCTAATTCTTTTGGGTAGGTTTTGCTTTTTCTCAATTTAAAATTATTTATTGTTTGTGTCAATGTCATGGAAGTTCATAAATTATTTACTCATATAGTTTTTTCATTTTCAGTTCTTATCTCAATTTCCTCTGGCATGCCAAATCACAGTGCATCAATTCAGGTAAATAATTAATTTTGTGGTTTTTACCATGTTTGTTTTCTGCATTCTTTCTAATGTTGATTTATTTTTTTATCTCACCAGCTTTGTGTCCAGAAATTACGTATTTTAATAGAAGATTCAGATCAGAATTGTAAGTAATATGGTGTGTTACATTAATTCATACATTGTCAACATTAAGTAAATTTAATAATTACATTAACCCATCACTTGCAAATTTGTACTCCATCAATTGCATGTTGGATATTGCCAACATATTGACGGTGGTGATAGTGTAATGGTAAGCATGGCGTGTTATGTCTAAGTTCGTGGGTTCAAACCTGATCGAAGCAGAATCTTGTCTAATACGGAAAAAAATACTGATCCCTTGAGGTTCCACATTGAGCCACACTATATATTTTTTTATTGTGTTTATTGCAGAAACTGCTTCTGCAGAACTAGGCACACTCCTCTTTTTAACTCCATTTCAGGGCAATATTGACACTTCATTAAAATTAAAACTTTCTTAAAATAGCACAAAATTACAATACCCAACATGTTATTGTACTCGGCTTCAATGCTATAGCTCCTGATGCTATAGCGAGGAGCACTACACTAGAACAGTACTAAAGCAAATGAACTCCAGACTTGACTAGAATTCATAGCCGTCAAGATAAATCTCGTCGTGAGAAAGAACACTTGCAAGTGAAAGCAAAAATATCATGAAAAAATGCAGCAGATCCGGGATGGCTTCAAAAAGTACAAATACCGGGGAAAATGTTATTTTGAAAGTGTAAAAGTGGGGATAATTTAACAATATGAATATAGGAATAGTGAAGGGACCGGGGAAATCAGTGTAAGCTGCGGAAAAATGTGAATTCCGGGAATGTAAAGGCGGGATTGTACTGTATTATTACTGCTAATATTATATATTACTTCAATATTTGTCATTAAACTAGTCAATTCTTACATTATCTTCTCTCAAACTAATTTTCAATTGTGTACTGCAGTACATTTGTTTATTTATTAAAATTTTGCTCCTTATTTTTGTAGTGAAATATCTAGGTTTACTGGCTATGTCAAAGATCTTGAAAACTCATCCCAAATCTGTCCAAGCTCATAAGGATCTCATCATGCAGTGTCTCGATGATAAAGATGAATCAATAAGACTAAGAGCATTGGACCTACTTTATGGAATGGTAAGATTACGCAAAATATCGTATTATTTTGAATTTGCATGAAAATTAATATTTTGTAGTTTCTTGTTCTGTACTTCGTGTTATTGGATAGTTGTTGATATAAGGTGGAAATTTTAAAACTATCTATTTACTCAATTGATGGAAAAAAAGTGGGAATGTATGAGAGAAAAGCTATATTTACTGTCTGGAGCAAAGAAGAGCCATTCCACCATAAAAATTATGCAGGGCTAGGAAACTCAATGAAAGACCAGATGTCACCGATTTATAGGGACAAATCTGTCAGAAGTATGTCAGAATTTTAAAACAGGCTTGTCCTTAAGTTTTGAAGTGAATTTTGAAAAACTATAACATTCCCCACCAAAAGGATTTTTTAAAAATTTATATAGAAACATCAAACCTTCCAGAATTCAAGGACAGGACTCAACTGCTACAATATCAATATTTCAAGAGAAAATTACCAAAGCCATAATATTCCTACAAAATGAAATAAATGTTATTTATAATAATATATCTAAAGGAAATTTTTATTTATGGAGTTTCTATTTGTCCCTTCATATATTCCTGGCCCTGTTTATAAGTGCATCAGCTTTTGTGCCTGTCAGATTTTTGTATGCTAGACAGTTTATTTGATTGTTTGGTTTTGTGTACCCACTTACCAGTCTTCATTTGCCAGCTCTTCTCACTGTCCTTTCCCCTCACCTTCCCCCTACCTGCACCTTTCATACCTATTTCCTTCCCCCTTCCTACCCCCTTCCTACCCCCTATCATACCTCTTTCTATCTCCCTTCCTACCCCCTATCATACCTCTTTCCATCCCTACCTAACCCTTTCACATCTCTTTTCCCCTCCCTTCTTGTCCCTTTTATAGCTCTTTCCCTCCCCTTCCTAATCCTTGCATACCCCATTCCCTCCCACTTCTAAACATTTCATACCTCTTCCCCTTCCCCTTTCTAATCCTTCCATACCTTTTTTCCCTCCCCCTTTCTAACCCTTTCGTACCTCTTTTACCTTCTCCCTTCCTAACTCTTTCGTACCTCTTGGTCCCCCTTCCAGCCCTTTTCATTTCTCTCCCCCTCCCCTCCCTCCCCTCCTCCTTCCTGCCCCTTTCATAGCCCTTTCCCTCCTCTCCCTTCCCTTTCATAACCTTGTCCCTCCCCCTTTTCTCTTTCATATCTCTTTCCCTCCTTCCTACCCTTTATACCCCTTGCCCTCCTCCTAATCCATTCATACCCCTTTCCCTCCCCCTCCTAATCCTTTCATCTCTTTCTCTCACCCTTTTCCCTCCACATTTATTCCCCTTTCTCTCACATTTCATACTCCTTTTCCTCCCCCTTCCTGCATATTTCATATCTAATATAGATTTGTCAATCTGGCAAGGTGAGATGTTAATGAGTTGCTGAAAAAATGTGAGTTCTGCATTTGAATTCTTGAATGTCGTAGTCCTTTTTAATAATATCCTGATATATTTTCCTTAAATTTTTTCTAGATATTTACAAAGACAATGCTAATTACCAATATAAATGTTTTAAATGAGTTGTTGTGGGAAGATTTTTATAGCATTTTTCACTTTTTCTGGGATATGTGTAATCTGTATGAATTATGTTTTCATGAAATTGTTTTCACAGGTTTCGAAGAAAAATTTAATGGAGATAGTGAAAAAATTAATGGTTCACATGGATAAAGCAGAAGGGACTACCTATAGAGATGAATTGCTTTCCAAGATTATTCAGATATGCTCTCAGAATAACTATCAGTATATCACAAATTTTGAATGGTATGTCATCATAGTTTTTTAATTAATAACCGAGTTTGCTCTTCTTACTATTTGGAAGAAGTGGAATGTAACAAGGGTTCTTGACAGGGATGGTCAATTATCTACTAGCATCAAAGAGATTACTCCAATTGATCAGTTTTACTCTGTTATGAAAAAGGAAAATAAAACATGCCATTTCATCTTCAAGATGAAAGGACAAGTTTACAGAAATCTGATTTCATTATTAGGATAATTAAAGGTACATTTTCTTGGAGGGAGATTTACAGCTTTATCCTTTTTTATTTCCTGTGCTCATGAGTTGTTTGTCTTTATACTACCTTTGTATGAATGTTTGTAGTTTTAAATGTAATTGAGTAAAATAAAATAAATACATAATAGTAAACTGATATGTACGCAATAAACAAGTCAATGGAGTAATTTTCAAAACAGAAACTAGTGATGCCTCAGGTATGTCAGATTCATGCTATTTATTGGATGGAGGTACCTGTGATTTATATATTTCACTGTACACAGTCATAGACAATAATTTGTAGATTGTGAATATTCAAGAGGAAGAAGTGAACCTGTTTCCAAAAGATGTGAATTCTTATTGAATCAATCTTGAATTCCTGATCAATAAATTTCAAAATTGGTAGCGGGAATGATAGAAAAGAATTTTTTATAATGAATTTTTATTGTACATTTCCTGTCATGTGAAGTAATTGTGTTGTTAAATTTTATACTTTATTAAGTAACCCAATTATGCTGCATTATCCATAAACTTTGATAGTTCATTATTAATGCATTATGATTGAAGGAATTGGTAAAATGCAGGTGTCCCAGAGTAAATATTACACACTTCTAGAGCATGTAGAGGGGTCAGAAATGATCAAATTTTGCCAATGAAAATATAGGGGGAAATTGCATGTTACAGAGTTATACGAATTTATACATGTGGCGTTTACTCATAATTATAGGCAACTCCTGGATGCACAGATGGTCAACAAATGTCTTGATAGAGTCAAGGAGATTTCATGTACCTGCCAAACCTATGTGCATATGGAGTTACCTAAAACTTGCAATCAAATGCCACATGTATTGTCAACTCCTTTACGTACAATTTCCCTCTATGTGTTCATTGGCAATAAGTGATCATTTTTTACCTGTCTACTTGTCACAGAAGTTTGTATCGTTTATTCTGAGTCCTTCTGTATTTAGTAGGCATGGCTTTCAAAACTTTTTTTATTTTATCAGTATTCTTTGGTACTGACCAAAGAACCACAGACTCCAAATTGTAGTCACCAATTGGATGGAATTTTGAAGTAGAGAACTGATAAAAATTTATGCCAAAGTGAAGACTATGCAAACTTACCAAATTCAGATAACTGATAAGTAGTAGGATACAGTTGTTGACATCTTTCAGAAAAATTCATAAACATTTAAGAAATTGATTATACAAATTACCAAACTGTATGTAATTAATTATGTAAGAATCAGTATTAATTATACCAAATATTTCCTACTTACTGAAATTATTTCATGATTTCTCATACTTGGGTAGATAAAGGAGATGTGAAGTCAAGTGTCATTACAAAGATTGGATTGGGTGAATATCAAATTTTAGATATCTCTTACGGTTTAGAGGAAGATTGATGTTAATAATTTCAGCTTACTTTTGCAAACAACTATATATACTTTTTCAAACAACTATAATTTGGCTTGAATTTTTTTTATCTTCAGGTATGTAAGTGTGTTGGTTGAATTGACTAGAATGGAAGGCAGCCAACATGGTCATCTTGTGGCGACACAAATGTTAGACGTTGCTATTAGAGTACAGGCAATACGCCATTTTACTGTCCAGCAAATGGCATTATTGCTGGACAATGTTCACTTTCTTACATCAGGATCTGCTCAGAGTTCAACCATGGCAGAAGTTCTGTATGCAGCTGCATGGATATGTGGGGAATTTGCTGAGTAAGCTTCTTGCTATACTTGTGAGTTGCACATTTCTATTTTGGAAATTAACTTTCAATTTCTGTTCTTCACAGACATTTAAGTGAGCCTCAAGCAACCTTGGAAGCTATGTTACGAAGCCGTGTATTTGCTTTACCTGGCCATATTCAGGCTGTGTATGTTCAAAATATATTAAAATTATTTGCTAATATTTTGACAAAAGCCGAAGAAAATCAGGATGTGGATGGAATAAACAAGGTATATTTTTTACATAGTAATGTAGATTTCATTAATCAATTCTTCCAATTCAAAATCAATTAGTTTTTTGATTTCTTTTTAATTTGATGGTGTTTCATTTGCATGCATTTTATACATTCGTGTCTATTATGTACATTTTTATTCCACCATGGTGCTTGTAGTGACTAGTGTGTTCTTCTAATTTATTGATGGATATTGTGAGCATCGTACTTTAACCCTCTGTTACATCACACACACACACACACACACACACACACACACACACACACACACACACACACACACACATACTCACTTCACACTCTTACATTTTTGCGTGTCATTGTCAGTTATCAGGAGGGATTGAGTTGCAGCTTCCTGTTTCGTCCTCGGTCATGGTGGCTCATCCATAGGTGTCGATAAAAAAAACCTTTGTCAGTTGTTGCAGACGTTGCCCACAGGAGAATATTTAGCGTTCCAGAGCATCACTCCATGCGCGTTTGTTCAAATTATAAGTTCTACTCTCATGTTTCTTATGCATATTACTTTTGAAACATAGTATAAACAATTTAAACAAAATGTTATGTATTTCTCTAATAGTTCATCAATGTTTAACTATCAGAGATGTGAATAATATTTTTTCTATTATAAAAATGGTTTCAAATCTCACATTATTTGCATATTAACAACTCCCAATATTGTGGCAGATTTATGGTTCAATTAGTTCTAAATACACAGAGTTATTGAATAGAAACTCAACCTCTAATGTTTTCTAATCTAAACGGTTCAAGATATTGAGACGAAATTTTCACCAAACAATTTAGGTCATAAGGGTTGTCATTATTAGCTTTTTAGAATAATTTATTATCATTATTGTTATTTGTATCGTGTGGTCTTCTCCATTTTCTAATGTTTTTTCAATAACAGACTGCTTGCAGAGGTATCGCAAATCAACAAAAATTTTATTAAATATGTATTAATCTAATGAAAATACAAAAATTAATCCCAACAATTGATTGATACTATTGCTACACATAGTCTATTTGGTATTCACGAAAAATACTATAAAAACAGCTTTTAACGTTGGTAGAAGATAGAGGTTTAAGTTTGTGGGCTCCACAGTCCACACATGTATACTCACGTAACGAACACAGTGTGTGATGGAGGGTTAACCCTTTATAGGGCAAAACGTTTTTTGGTTGAAGTTTTAGAAAAACCATTTTATTATCATTGTTTATAACACTTACATTATATAAGCATGAGTTATAGTTATAATTGTTATATTTTCATTTTTTTTGCATGTGGATGGAAAAAAAGGTGGTTTAAATGTAGACAGCTATCCCTTTTGGGTAGGGCTTGAAATACTGTGAATAGTGATCATTTAAAAGACCAGAAATAGTAATATGAAAAAATGTAACATTTTCAAAGAAAAGATACAATATATTCTGGTATTCATGAAGTTGAAAGCGGTCTACATATTAACTGAACATAACTTTAGGAACATAACATCTGTACCTTTGTGACATGCATACAGATTAGATTCCCCAACAAATATTCTAAGATAAAGATAAAGAAAGTGAAAATTTATCCAGAGGAGATTCTAAATTGATATTTGACAATACACTATCAACATCCGAATTGCCTCCACCCTCCAAATCATCAACTTCATCATCGGCCATTGACCAATGCATAGACAAAACGTGTATACGATGTAAATTTTCAAATTTCCATGCACGTCCTGTTTCTGGCGATTCCTGGAAATATCTGTAATGTTTCATATTCGTGGAAGTTGATCCAAGTCGTGCCTTCTTGTATTGTATCACAGGGAAAGTAGGTTATTGCAAGGGCTCCGTGGGCCAGGTGCCCGTTGGCTCTGCTTGTCAGCGTGTCACTTGCATTGAAGGGTCAGCAGGAGCTTTGCGACCCCAATGAGCGGGATAAAATGAAATTTTGAGAATTGACAGACAGCCTACAACAAATTGTCGAGGATTTTGCAGAAACAAAAAATTGGCAAAAGGAACTGAAAATCTCAAGGGTGTTAAATATATTCAAACAAATCTGTTCATGAAATAAAGCCAAGGGTCCAAATTCTGTCTTGGGACCCCTTCCAGGTTAATTTGCTTATAACTAGTTAGCCAAACACTAAATCTGTTTTGTGTATATTGTAAACCACATGCATGTTATTTAGATATAATGTAATTAGTGCATGGATCCACATTTATATTTGATATAGCACCACTTTTACAAAAAGACCCTCCAGTTTCGCTACTATGTTCATGGTGTTCTTTGCGTTATTAATTATATTTTAATTTAGGCTATAAAATGTATGTATAATGTAGAAAACACAGTAACTGTTAATTAAATAAATGTTGTACACACCTTATATTTAATGAATTATCTCAATAATATAGTCGTGAGTGTGATGATTTTAGCTTCAAAGTGGGGGCAAAGACACGTCCCACATGGATAATGATCAACCAATTGACCAACATTTCAATATGTAAAGCCTACCAAATTCAGAGAATGAAAAGTGGACACTTAAGCAACCACTGTGTATTCAGTAACACCTAATCTGTTATGGGGTTATGAAAAATTGAAAATGACATGAATCTTCCTTAGGACGATTAAAAAAGGATAACAAGAAAACCATTAGATTACTTTAAAATAGAAATGTGCAGAGACGGGTAGCTTGTAGGGTAGTGCCAGTGTGCCATGGCACCACCAACAGAAAGGAAGAAAATTAAAATATGCACCTTAAGGCGGCGGCGATGGTGTAACGGTTAGCGTTTCGGACTGTTGTACCCAAGTTGGCGGGTTCAAACCCGATCGAAGCCGTGGATTTTTAAGGGCAAAGAAATCCTTCGTACGCCTTCCTTCGGAGGGGAAGTAAAGCTGGCTGTCCCATGTTAGTAGATTTACTTGCATGTAAAAGATCCTCAAGCCTAAATGACACCTCTGAGCTAAATTCATAAAAATAGCCTGTTTCTCGCCCAAGAAATACCTCCGTTCTCTGCTAGTTGGTGAAAGAAGCGTAGCGAAATTTGCGTGGTCAGACGGAAGAGCAGGCCTAATGGCCTGAGTCTCGCCACGTAAAATAAGGCATTAATTCAATTCAATTCAAGTATGTATAAAATATCGTTCCTTCAAAATATTTTCTTTATAGTAATTAATTTGAATGAGCCTTAAGTCTATCGATGCCCTATCAGTACTCTCGTCATATGCCCAAGGCGGAGTACTATCTGCTGGCCTCTTTTGAAACCACTGAACCACCTATAGATTTGCTCCATCTTTGCCCATTTAACGCTGTATAAAGAACGCTGTGTTGGTTGGTATGTGTCTTATGGATGAGATTGTGTCAAATTCAAACTGGTTCAGTACTTTACATACTCTTTCATAGAGTGCATTAATGGCACTATCTTCATGCAGCAGACTATCTCTCTCTCTCAGGATGACCCCAATTCCCTTTTATTTTGTACATCCTTCCTTGTATTTCACACATGGAGTGGTGGCATAAGCCATGGGCGTAAGGCCTCCCCTCTCCTTCCCGAACCCTTCTTCAGCGAACTCTGGGAGCTGTGAAATCTTGAGATTTCTGTGAGTGCTCATGCTTTCAGGCTGAGTATTTTTATTTGTTCTTATTTACTTTAGTTAATTTTCAGGTTAATCTTCATTATAAATTAATAAACATAGTCACTGTAAAATTTAATTTTGTTGCCTGCAAATTTTATTTTCGAGATTACTAAACGAGGTTTAAAACACTGCATCGATGTTTAAAAACTCTATGGTTGTTAATCGATGTTTTATTAACATCTATGTTTTAATTTTGAACGTTGATAATTGATAATATGGATGTCACGTCACTCACTGGCAACACCAATAGAATTCCGTATTGGCCACCACTGAAAATGTGCATGTTGAAATTCAGAACAGACAGCATAGACTATGATAACAGGGCCTTTCTGTTCCTTGGTGTATCTTTTTTTGAGCTAATAATAATAATAGCACTCCACTTGTATATCCAGTTATTCTGAAAGAACATTTTCTAAATTTGTGATTTTTTTTCTTCTTGAGTACTAAAAGGAATGACAATCTATCTTCAGAAAGCATTGTAAGTGGAGTGAGTATCATCGTTTTGATCTCTTATGTTGTATAGTTTTGACAGTAATTGTATGCATTTCAGCTATGTGAAATAGTTGCCGCAAACATGCCTCAGTTTGTGTCAAGTGCGGATCTGGAGGTGCAAGAACGTGCCAGTTCAGCTCTTCAGCTGGTACAATATTTGCAAAAGCAAGTGAACAAAGGAGATTTTGGACTGGCCTCTGAGGTGTCTGCTTTGTTTGTGGGTGAATTGAATCCTGTGGCTCCAAAAGCCCAGAAAAAAGTTCAGATACCTGAGGGGTAAGTTTATTGTAAAGTAATTAGGAAAGGATTTTGATCCTATGTATTTACTTTTATATAAGTAATTGTGGACTAGGTTTGGAAAACAAAAAAAATTATAATGAAAGGAATGAAATAATTTCTGAAAAAGGATTTTGAAAAGAAAAGGGAAGTTAAAGAATAAAAATGTGTGTGTGTATGGGGGAGTTAAACAATAAAAAGTGATGCATATTTATATCATTTTTTAACTTAACTTCTCAGGGAAACTTAGCTTCTCTTCTTTTTTGATCACATTCAACGCTTCAAAATGCTGTATTGGTTGACCACACTGCTACTAGCAGAAGCATGCTTTTAAGATTGCTTAATTTTTTACTGGCAATTAAAGCATAACTCAGGTGACTCAGCTTCCTTATCTTTTTAATTTTTGTTGTGCAGTTATTGTTTGTCTTTGATATACAGTGAGTGATCCTCTGATTGAATGTTTTGCTGTTATCAACTTTTAAATACGTTTTATTCAAAAGGGATCCAATACATAAGTAATTCTGAAATAGTGTTCATGGGAAAGGTGGAAGGAAACGGGAAATAAAAATGTGTGATCTTGTGGCGAGAACGTGTGTATAAGGAATGTGCGTACAAGTGGTAGTTTTTTTGTGTTTTTTTGCCTCTGTGAACTGTCCTAATCACCTATGTATCATGTCACTCTGAATTGCTTACTTGATAGTTCTTGGTCAAAAGAACATATCCATATTTTTATAGATTCTGTTTTAATATGTTGATTGATTTGCTTTGAAATACAGAGAAGTTAACTTCCTTCTGTGACTGGATTGAAGAGATCCATTGAGTTCACTAAAGGTTATGCAGAATTATTTAAAGTATCCATTTTGTTCATTAAAGGATATGCAGAGTTCTTTTATTAATGGGACCGGATATTCAGTAATAATTAATTTTTTTTAATGAAATCCACTCTCAATAATAATGATGATGATGATGATGATGATGATGATGATACTACCACCTTGTATTATTTCTTATGTTTCTGTAATATAAGTTTAATGTGCACAAGGGTTCCCAACCCTCAAAATATATGCCCAGGTTGGCTGAGATTTGAACTTGAGCATATCTCTGCAATAATTGCTCTTTCTTGAAGTATCAGAAAAAAGGGGAACTTTTTGCAACAAAAATTTGAAGAAGTTTTAATGAAAATTTGATATGTACTATATTTTTCAGCAAATTTTGGTCCATTGAAGCAAAATATTAAGAAAAGATTTGGAGCCATTTTGAAAAAAGTTTAGGTTCATTTAATTTTTACTTTTTTGTATATTACATACTGTAGAGAAAGTTATGTAATGCTGCAGCAAAAAAGGTTTTTCAGCAGAAAAATTTGCATTGTAGAACCCTGATACCAAAAAAAGGAGGATAAATTCTGTTCCTTTTTGTAGTGTACTTCCTCTCATGTTATGTAGTTTGAATCCACATCCTTGATGACAAAAAAGAGGTTTTACGACAAAACGTTTGTCCATCTGTCAGTTTATATGTCTGTGAACACTGCTAGTGGCTAAACCATGGCCAGGATTTTCAGCAAAATTGATATTGCCTGATTGATTTGGCTGATATCAGAGCCCCTTGAATTTGAAATGGATATTTTGAGTTTAGTATGAGTTGGGGGTATATTATTTTCAGACTCAGATAACTTTCTCAAAATTTTCTAACAAATGGCTCAAAATGTTTTCTTAAATGTTATTCTCCACAAAGTACACCTAAAAATTGAAGCAGGGAACTCTGAATTTCTGACAATTAGATATGTTAATTTTTTGGGGGGTCACGCCCTTCAATTATAATATTAAAGAAAGAGATTTTTAGTTTTTGCCTTACTTTATAAGAAGAGAAAGTATTTTGCTAGAAATCAGCAATTTTTTCAATAGAAAAGCCCCTATTGCCAGTCCCTGGTAATGAAAAATTTGATATATCTTGGTTCTATGTGTAGTAAATTACTTCCTCAATTATGTTGTGCGGCCAGAATTCATTCTGTATGATGCTAATTCTCCATGATACTAAAAAATTGATAGATGGCAAAACATTTGTCGGTCCATCCATCCATTTGTGATTAATGCTAGTGCCTAAATTGTTCAGACTATTTTGTTCAAAATTGATAGTCCCCAATCACTCTGAACGACCTCGAGTCACTCCACGAGCTTGAAACACATATTTTCATTTTTGGACTTACTTTACATGAAGCATACTTTGATTAAGTATTTTTTAAATTTTATGTAAAAATTTTTACTTTTATTGTAGATACATTACATTAATACAACTCTATCCTAGGATTTATTTAGCTTTGCATTTGAAGTAAATCAGATGTTCACCATTTCATCCAATCGGGAGCTTGAACCTCCCCATAGTGACATCTCTGTAGCAACTATATAAGATATAAGCTCTCAATTCAGTGAAACTGCAACAGCTGATATGTGTCATGAGCAATACTAAATAAATCGTACTATCTCAAGAATTTTGCCATCCATTGTTGATTCAAAGTGGCCTTAATGTCTCTCTCTTTGTCATCTCTGTATTGTTTCTAATGTAAAACACAATAAATTAGTTTAATTACATAAATAAATAACAAAATCTTGTGATAATTAGAAGAAAATGAAAATTCACATTGGTACCCGCACTGCATAGAAAGTACACCAATGAACACTTTCCAATGGAAATACAATCGTCTAGTCACAGTAGTAAATCTTGTGCAACTGAGTATTGAAGAGGATGCAGCTGAATGCCTTCTGCGAGGTTAGGTGAAATGTCAGAATGTGTGCTAATGTTATCTGGCACCTATGGCGATAACAGTTCCAGTGGTGTACAAAGTATGCCAGCGCGATTAACTAAGGGTTAAGCAATTGTCTGTTTCATTTTGTAATTTGTTCATTTGAAACACTTTATCATATCCATTTTTTACAGCTTGGACCTTGATGCTTGGATTAATGATCCACCATCTGAGAGTTCAGAGGAAGATGATGATGATGATTCGACTGCAGTCCTGCGTGGTATCAACACAACAGATATATTTGTGAAGTCTGATCGTATAGTAGATGGGTATTATGGGTTAAATAACAAATCCGACAAAACTCCTGAACCAACTGAAGAAGAATTAGAAATGGTGAATATGGCCAAATGATTTGTTGTCATTGAGGACTTCATTTTAATTATATAAATGACTTTCTGATTAATGGGAATTCATTATAATTGACCAAATTATTTTGTTATTAATGGGAATTCATTATAAATTATAAAGTTGTAGCCCAATACAAATGCAATACACATCAGTTTGTGTATGTTATTTACAGATACGTATAATCTATAGTTTTGTTTTGTTCATAATCGATGTGATTACTGAGATGTATAGTGCAACTAATTATGATATGATATGTAGTTTTAACCAATCACATTTACTTGTAAGAATTCTGAATTTGTGCAACTAATAACCAAGTAATGATTGTTTCTTATTCAGATTTTTGCACTACATATATAGAATGTTTGAGTGATGGTGATTGATTGATTGATTGACATTAGAAAAAATTAATCTGAAGCTCTCAAAGAGCTTGGAGTATTCTTGTATAAACAAGATCTAAAGCTCTCATTTACACAGGAAAATAGGTGTATAAATTATAAAGATTGATGAATTTATTTTCAATATTTCACAATTATCAAAATTTATATTACACACATTTTAAAATGGTATTAAAGCTAAATCTTATGTAGAAAAGAGGAAGTGTTTAAAAAAGAGGAATTATCCCAAGATCATGTAAATAGTATTTAGTTTTGAGAGTTTTGATATTATTTCATGTTTTTGTAACAAATTGGAATATGTACTCTAATGATCTCTTATAATAATATGTACTCTAAGGATCTCTTATCATTATTGCGTTTGGAGCCATTTCATTAAATTGAACTGAAAGCTGTTTTTTTGCATTAATTATTGTTTTGTGTTACTTGTGATATAGTAAGTGAGAAGTATGAAGGAGTTGGAAAAATGTAATCAGTGTTTGTATGTGCTGTGAAAGGTTTTAAATGTGAATTGCAAATATGGAATGTGGTATTGGTGTAATGTCAAAATGTTAATTAATTTTAAAAACAATTTCTAACATGTTATAATGTTCCATTTTTTCCAGCGTCGTACTGCCAGAAAGTTGGAGCAAGCAAACAATCCTCATTATCTCAAGTCACGTGCCAATACCAAAGTAAAGAATGACTTAAACAAGAACTTGTCAGAAGATTTCTTTGATGTGCCTGTTGCTGAGATTGAATTGCCTGTTTCATTGAAAGTTACAGGTATGTTTTTAGCGAACGTATTATTGAAAAAAATACTAATGGTATGCGCTAAAACCAAGAGTTTTTGAGATAAGAAACATGTATAAAGGAAGATTAAAATGATTTGGACGATAATGAAATGTATAATAGTGAATGTTCTAATATTAGTGATATTAAGCTATTCACTGCTCTGGCCATCTTCATATATGGAAAATTTCTGTGCCTGAGGCCTGTGAACATTTGAGCATGTGCAGACAGGATGTCACTGGGAGCCACTGGACGTATAAATGTGCTAGACCATTCTACTTCTTTTCATGCTTTTTACAAGAGTCAATTGATTTCTGAAATGATTTTAGTGGTAAATTAATATCTTGATGCTACTATGGTTTGTTTCTCCTGCATTTGCATGGGTTTTTGCTAGGATACAATTGCTTATTGTGGGGTTCAGTACCCAGTATGTAGGAATGACCGAAGTTGGTTTCTTAAACTCTTTATGTATCAATAGAGTGTTATTCAAGGAAGGTTGTCTTTCTCTCCAGGGTTTGCCTCACAAAGAGAAATTTATGGTCATACTGACACTTTCCTATCACTTGTCAAACCTGACCAGATGCTGGAGTCCTTGAAGTCCTGTTAGGTTTTTCTTTGCACATATTTTCTTTTGACTGTTGTTATTTGCTTTGAGTTGATCAAAGTTTTCTTTTCCTGCCTTAAGTTATTATTGGATTTGCTCCATAATCTGGAAATTACCTGATAAATGCTTAACTCAGCCTGACTGATGGGCTCAGCACTGATTGGCACCAGTGCCAGTTCATATTATGCACACTGTTACTCACTGAAGGTCTGCCTGTAGCAGTCAAAAGGTTAAGATTGCAACAGAAGAGGTGTACAGTGCCTGTGAGATTGAATCCAGTATATTTTTAGTATGCTGATATATTTTTGTGTAGTTTTCTCAATTATTGATATTTATTCTGTATTTTTTTAGTATTGTTTCCATAATGCTTGTATTGGCAATATTTATTGGCATTGTTGACATAATTGATTATTCATGGTATTTGTATTAAATACCAATATACTTGTTTAAATCAAGAATTAATTGGTCAAAAGCAGAAGTTCCTCCAGAGTTAAGAAGCAGAATTGATGATTAGAAAACCCAGATGTGCACAAATGAATACTTCATTTGAACATTGCCAACATGTCAGGTTCTCCTTGTCTGTGGTGGTTGAGTCTTTAGGATGATGATATATATTGTCTAAGGCGATGAAATTTGTGTTATTACAGAAATAAAAGGATGTTTTTTTGTTGTAGGGCTTGCGTCCCCTGATAGTTATCTTAACTTAGATAAGAGGAATAAAACTCAGAAGAAAAAGAAAAAGAAAGGCAAGAAAGGTATGTAAATGCTTCAATTTTCAATGCTTGAACCCATTGATCCGATTATGGCTATAAATACAAGAGAAAGTCAAATGAGAATAGTTCAGACAAATCTTGAATACCAGAGGTCACTTAGATTGTTAAAATGGACTCTTAGGCAGTAGTTATTGTCAGATGATAGTTCATTTTCTATTGATTGAAACACTGAATATGAAGAGTTCTTTATAATATTACTTGAACATGTTTTCAAGATTCATATCTCACTTTAGTCTGGCATAATTTTGTAATATAGTTTAATTTATTTGAAGTCAAATGGAATATTTTTCTGTAAAACAATATGGCTTTATTTATAAGGATTTATTTTGGTGTAATATTAGAAAATATTTATTTGTTAGTGAGCTAGGTTATCACTCCTCCTAAGTGTCCCATTACTTCTTTTTGGAATCAAAAGTTAATACTACTATCAAAAAAGTTCTATTTCACCATGCTGAGAAAATATAAAATTTCCTGTTATTGATTTTTAATTGTAATAATTGTAGAAAAGAATAATAAGTAAAATTTGTTAAACTGTATAAGTAATACATAGTAAGTTTATGTAAGTAAGGTCCAACTCTTGAAGGTTGTAAGAGAAAAAAATCATCATTCTTTTTTAACCAAAAATGCATTTTCTAAAGATTTGTTTGCATTCTTTTGACAAAAAATGTGATTTTCCTACACACCTTTTTTCACTGGCAATTTCACTTCCATTTTACAAACACTTATTCCGGATATGATATAACCATATTCATTTTTAGTTATTTGAGGTGGAGACTATGGTGCAATGTAAATTTTATAGGATTGCTGGTCATGCTAAATGCTATGGGTTTAAATCACCTTTTTACATCCCAGGAGTATAGTGAATTAGCAACATCTCTGATGGCATCACGTGCATCTATATGATTTCTCTTAGAAATTTCTCTTAGAAATCATATAGAACATGCTTCTTGTTCTGTATAAACTAATTAGAGGAATTGTGGATTGTCCTCTATTATTTAACAAACTAAAATTTCAAAATTGATGTATTGATTTGTGTGATGTTTTGTATTTGTAAATTACTATTACTCCAGCACTTTATATTGTAGTAAATTGTGGACAAATTCTCTTTTATTTATAAATAAATAGATAGATAATTTTGTAACTTACAATTTTCTGTCATTAAAGAACGAGATGCTTCTACTGATGAGGAAGATGACAGCTATCCTCTGCATGTTGTTAATACGGATATAGGAGAAATGCCAGAAGGGGCCCAGCTGTCTGATGATGATGAAGATGGTGATTCAAGGCCTAACGATGATCCTCATAAAGCTTTAGATATTAATTTAGATGAGTAAGTCAAGGTTCTATTCATTATGATATGGTTACGCAGAATGATAGTTTTATTGAGAACCAATAATTCTTTTATGTTGTAGGCCTCTACGCGATGAAGAAAAATTACCTATTCGCACTCACCATCTTCCAGACCCTGTAAATCATATTATTAAATCCAAAAAGAAACACCACAAAGAGAAAGATAAAAATAAGGATAGAAAAGAGAGATCAAAAGAACACAGGAAATTAAAGAGTAAGAGCAAGAATAAAGATCGAAATCCTATTGAAGATGAAAAGCTGGTAGGTCACCTTTCTGAAATATAAAACTGCATTATATGTTTGAGTGAAATGTAATGTTGTTACAACTTATGAGATATTAATGGAAGAAAAAGATGAAAGTTGTCTTTCTTTCAGTTGTAGCAAGTGTGGTTGCATTTGTAAGTACACATTGAACTTTCAGTAAACGGGCCTCAGTTTCATTCCAGACAAAGAGGCTTAACTTCGCTTTATACAATGAGCATTTGGAAACAAGCAGAAAAACTGTTAAACAAGCAATATTATTTATTGTCTTTCCAATATACAAAGATGCAAAGTACTAGTACTATGCTAAGCTGATGTTCTGTTGTTGTTTTCCCACATTTCATGATGGCTGTAACATACCTTTTTCCAACCATGAAATGTCATTTCATTGAACAGTATGTAGCCTGGGATGGGGACTGAAGTTTGAATGTCTATTGAGAGTGCTGTTAAGTTTTAGGGCATGTTGTTCTGTGGAGCATGAAATCTGGTGTATGTACTCTGGGCGGGTCAAGTCTATGGATGCAGAGTCTGGTGGTGCGTTATCTGGAGGGGTATAAATCTTGTTCCTTTATGGAGTAAATTACTGCCCCTAACACGTGTAGTCAGAAGCCACATACCTTTTTCTCTGCCAGACTGTGAAAGGCATGTAGCAGAATATAGAATATGCGTGGTCAGACGGAAGAGCAGGCCTAATGGCCTGAGTCTCACCACATAAAATCATTGAATGGAATTGACAATGGCACTTACTGTGGTTCCCCTTTCTGACACTAAAGTGGCCAACAGGCCAGTGTTTGTTGTATACTTACCAGGTTTGAACTACTGCATCTTGTAAGTCCCCTGTGCCAGCTGGTAATTAGCCAGAGGAGGGATCATGTCACTAGCAGGTCAGGAACTAAGGATTGTTACTACTCAGGTGTAATGTGTACATGCCTCTTATGCATGCTCCTATGTTATCGGAACGGATTAGGAACAAAGGAATGCCATGGGAAGGGAGGGTGGGTCAACCCAGCATACACGCATAGGTAAACCACCATGCCTATACACAGAATTCGAACCCGCAACCTGCCGAACTGAGCTCTCTACTGAACTCATGCCTTAGTGACCTTGCTTGCCGAGGTAGGCATTTTAGCTTGTCTGCATATTGACTCCAGTTCCAAAAGTGAGACAGCATTTCCCCCTGCAAAGATGACAATTCCATCTACCATTATAATAAGCTTGGTGCTTATATACCTTGCATATTATATGCATGGTGTTTGCTGTAGCATGAGCATGCTTCTAAACTGTCCTTTGACATAGTTTCAGGGACAATCCAAAACAAAAGTTTTGATAGTGATAGTGATAATCATGTATCAAATATCTGTTATTCTTGGTGTGTTAGTTCAGAGGCCAACACTAATTAGGCATAGTGTTATCATAGATTTTAACAAACATATGTGACATTTTGTTTTTCTTTCTTTTCTGAAGGTATTACAAAATGAGAAAAGAGATGCATTAACTTCTAGGATATTTTTTATATCATGTTTATTATTATGATTGAAATAAAGGTAATTTAACCTGTGTACTGTACAGGCTGCAGTTTCTGATATCTGTTGAAGCATGATGAAGTAAAGAACAGAAAATTAACAAAGAAAATGATTCATGCTCTTCGTTGTTGAATTGTTGGAAAGAGGACATCACATCATCTGGTTTAGAAAAGGACCTGATTTAAACACTTCCATTTATTTATTTTTTAATTTATTAAATATTGCTAGCAGCAAAAGAAGCTGATATACACAAATTCCACAATTATGTATCAAATCATCAGTTATCACAGTTATGTGTTCACTGCAACTTATTGATTGGGCATTGGGTTGCATGTGTTCACTTCAACTTGTAAAACTATTCGTCAAATTCGTCAATATCCTACATTTGCACTAGTATTTTATGATTTAAAGAAAAGAAGAAGAAAAAAATGCAAATTGTGACGAGCTCTTTCTAATCAATGAATGCTCACAAATAATAGATTCTATGAAAAGATGAAACACAAATTCTCCATTTTCATGAAATGTGCAAAATATTCCCCTATAATTACACGAATGTGCATCAACAGAAAAATATGCACAAACATATTAATCTACATAGTATCCCGTTGGAACCAAAAGTTAAGAAAATTCACTTAGCTGTACCCTGAAGCGCCGGGCAAAAATTAGCAAAATTATAGATATCCGCTCACTATTTATGACCAAGGGTATCTTTGGAGAGATGCAGATTCTAAACTCTCTCTTTTAGCAACTTACTGGTTGGTACTATCTTATCTGCCATAAAACCAGTTTTCAATTTTTTTTGACTTTGCGTGCTTTTCCATTTGTAACATTGATTGTATCTGAATGTTGGGTTTATGAAATAAAATTAATAAATGTTTGTAAATAAGTATAAAGAAATAAAAGTTGGTATGTGAGGTTCCTAATACAGTAGATGAATGGGAATCATTTATCGTTGCTTGATAAATGGTATTGATCTTAACTTAATTATTCAGTTACTGGTAACCTATTCATGTAAACTTTCTTGAAGGAATAAAAGCTTGAAATATTAATTCTGTTTAAATTCTTGTTTAACAATATATTCTCTGAATTTTACAGCATGGAGGAGATAATTTGGATCTTTGGTTGGGGCATGATCCTTCTGGTTATCAACCAGTCACATCTGATGGAGAAAAACAAGCAATGACATCAGAGAAGCTGCCAACAAATTCTTCCAGGTCGGAAAAGGGAGCTGGCGAATCAGTGGGGTCTTTGGGCAAATCTAGCAAAAAAGAGAAGAAGCGATCAAAGGAACTGAAAAAGGAGAAGAAGAGTTCCCTTAAAATGAAGGAAGGCTACGAGGAGGCTGCTGGCATCTCCACTCCTTCCAAGGAGGTCATCAGTGATCTTCAGGGCCAAGGGCTCGCTGACCTTCAGGGCCACAGTCTTCCTTCAGACTTGCCTGTGGATCCTCCTGGTGGCCTTCCGCATGTGGTGACTTCCTATACAAAATTTGCTGGTGATAAGACTTTGCAAATGGTTAGTGTTCTTCTCAGTTTAACTAAAACTTTGAGATATCTTATGGTGTGAGCAGATAATTTTTCTTTATAAAGAAATTTAAAGTTCATATTGTAAGCAACCTTAGATTTAACTTGGTAATACCCAACATACTTTTGTGTATTGTACTTGCCCAGTATCATCACATCCATGTTTGCAGTCATTGATGGGCTCTTTAGTAGCATTTGTCCACAAGTTTTAGTGACTAACCATTGTTATGTTGCTAAATTATACTTCTAGAGCATTCCAAAATCCCAAACGCTGGTTATATGGGCATTTTTTTTCTAGAAGTAGCAAAACTGTTAGACCTTAGCTGCATATGCCCCGTCAACTTCAGCACCGACCAACCACCATTTGCTTTACATTAGCCTCTTCCTCCAATTTAACTATAGGCATGTAGCAGACAAGCATAGTTTTATAAGAAGATTCAAGTTGATGGAAGTAATGTATACATAGTAGTCAGGAGTGTGCAATACTTTAGTGATCTTGGCTAAATCGATATCTAATGGCAGTATTTGATATAAGAAAGAAAGAAAGAATGAAAGAAACTTCCCCATTTTTTGGACAATGTGAATTAATGAGGTATATGAATTGAAAGTTTCATCTCAATATGATAACAAATTGGAACAATGGTTTGTTAACAATAACAATGGTCTGTTAACTGTTAGACAACTGTTGTAATACAAGAGCTGAAACCATGTTATTTTTAGTAAAAAATATGATTGTCACAAATATTTTTGTTATCTATGTAAATAAATTAGTTGAAATAGATTCAACTATTTAACTTGAACAATACAACTTCTCTGAAAGAGGTATTCTTAACAAACATAATTACATTAACAATTTCATGGTGATTAAAATTTATTTTGAATTTATAGGCATTTACACCACAGGACATATTTATGATATACATTGAAGCTCTGCATTCTGTGGAAAACTACCACCCCTGGCAGACCAGTTTCCTATCATCGCCTAAGAGTGTATGCACGACCACTTTCCACTTTCCTCTGAGTAATGATGGCTTATCGGGTATAATGAGTGTTCACTCTTGCTCCCTTCATTGCGCATTCTGGTGCCTCTGGATTCTGGTACAAATTCTACCATTCATGACATTGGCAGTGTTTGTTAAATAGAATTTACTGAAAATAAATTACATTTCTCCCTAGGTGAATTCCTGTGTCAATCTCACCTGGATGAGTAAAAACACAACTGTTTTGGATGAAGTGATATAATTTCCCCACTCATTGTTTCAGTTCCTTAATTAACGTTTTAAATGAAAGTAATTATGCAAAATGACATAAATTATTTATTTTTTAAATATATGCGTATATAATTATTTTGAGCGTCTGTATACACATTCCAATTGATATTTGCAAAATAATATCAGAATTTCAATGACACAATCTTCTAATAAGTATTTTTTTTTTGTTTATTCAGGAAGATGGACTGAGTTTTCACGCATTATTTCTTCATCTTCCTCTCCATTGCAGTTTCCTAATTTCTTGTTCTGCATGGTCTCAGCACTAATTTCTTATTGATAATTCTATTGCATGGTAACAGGTGAAAGTGAACAGCAAACATGTTGCTGGAAAGAGTAGCCCCGTACAACTGAAGGCAACTGATGCAATGGCCAGGCGCCACTAAGCCATTGGCTCAATTGCTCCAAAAGTCACAATAGCAGTAGGTGTGGAAAGTGCCTTGCCAGTCTTACGAAGAGATAGGACCCCAAGTGGCAGTCGGCTGATTTTTAACAGAATGCAGAGGTCTAACATACATGTCACAAAATGTGCATGCCACAAATAGATTTAGATACACTGTTATTTTATTCATAATTGAGATTATTGTAAATCCAGATGTAAATTAAATAATAGTATTTCAATATTAAAGAATCAAAATTTGTAAGTACTGTTACATAGCTCACAATTATATTTTTATAAAATGTTCTTCATAAACAAATATGGCTGGAGCCAAAACAGAAATTTAAGTGTGCCTCAGTATTTATTACCTTTGTTAAATAATTTTCTCACTTACATTCAGTACAAATACAAATTGTAATTGTGTAATTGAGTATGGAAATCAAACTCTTCTGTGGGTATGGTGTGAATTTATTTGATATTTAGTATCGCAGTAGTAGGATTTATCCATATCAGTCCCTGTCTTATGATTCCAGATGTATGAATGCAGATTGCTACCTCAGGAGAGCAACCAAATAGTTCTCTCTGTGTTATTGAGTAATCAAAGTCAGTCACTTGTTAAAGAACTAGACTTTAGTGTTTGTGATACTCTAGCGATCAAATTAATTCGTGGGGTAAGTACACAGCAATTATTCACTGTTCCAGAAAAGCGTATTGGGCTTTTCAAAGGTTTTGATATGAACTGAAATGGAACAACTGTAATAATACATATCATCTATTCTTTTTACTTTCTTGCCCTTACTTTGAAATAAGAGAATGTATTGTAATCGTGCATTGGAAAATTTTTGACACGAAAACTTGTATTGTCAGCACTTGTGGTGGATTTATCTCTGCAGTCTGTCACCACTGATCCTTCTCATTGCATAGTTTCAAATATTGTACTTCGAATTGTTAATAATATCAATCAAATTGCAATAATTTTGAAATTATGCATCCAAATATGCATATTTTAATAGATTGTTACTAAATTACTTTTCTTTATTGTCATTGTCGCATTTTTTCCTTCTCAGTACTGTGGTAGTAACTATTGCATATCATTAATTCAGATGCTATTGCCATTGTGTTTTGTCAGTTAAGTATATAAAATAGTTTTTACCATGTGCAGGACTGTGGTAACCAATATGGAATCAAGTTGCATTTCCAGTTGTCACCTGGAAGTACAAGTGAGGCGCAGTTTGCATTTGAAGTATCAGACGTTACCCAGCCTCAAAAACTTCGAGGAACTTTGACTTATATTATTGAGGTGAGTTTCGAAGAATGAACTTTTTCTTTCAAACTACAAATTTAGTTTTTAATATTGGTAAGATGTGTATGTAATTGAGTAATTTAGAATTATTGTGACTGAATTTTACCATATATGCAGTTTACTACAAAAAGAGTTGAAATCTTGTTTTGAAGTTGAGTAAGTTCAACATTCTCTCGTGTATCATATCTCAACACACCATTGGAAATTAATAAGAAGAGGCCACAAAAACGTAATGGCTATTGTAGATTTTGTAGATTTTGTGGTGAGAGTAGTGTCATGACTGGTTTCCTCCGCATTCCTACATTTCCCTTACCTTCCAATCTCCCTACTACACTTGCAATGTACTTCCCATACTATCTCGCAATATGTCAAATTGTGAAATATTTTACATATGTTGGTTTCTCAGTAATCAGTGGTTTGATTCAAATCATAAAGAATTAATTTATTTTGTGAAATCTCTATGCATGTTTGGATTAAAGAGTCTAAGTATTTAAATTAAATTTAAGTCTTGTATTCATATTGAGTGTACTGTTTATTTGGATTTTTTTTTTCATAGTTTGAATTAGTCTTTTTTTTTAATATGTATTCAAAACAATAATATTATTATGGAAAAAGTTGTTTTCCATTGTTTACTGTTAAATGAAATCATTAAGAGTGCCTTGTCCTTTAGATGTCTGATGGAATTGCTTCTCATGAGAAACTGGACTTCTCCCTGCTGCTGCCTTGCTCTAGTTTCATGATAGGCCGCTTGCCCCATAGAGACACGGTCACAGACTTATTACGAGGGGGACAGTTGACACATCGCAATTCCTTTGCTGTTAGTCCTGTGAATAGAGATTTCTCTCAGGTAAGACCACATGAAATATTTAATTTGTATTATCATTTGCATTAGTTTTTATTTTAGTCTTATTTTATCATTTTGGGTAGTCCAGTGTAGCAATTCCCAACAAACGTGAATCTGTAGCCTGGTTCATTTGTGATGTATCCTGATTTTACACTAGATTGAGAGTGCCAACCAGTGTATGTTTGGGCTGTAATAGTGAAATAGATATTTTTTAGTCACAATAAATGTTCTTTGATATCATATACTCATGCTATGTGTTCATAATTAATTTCAAGTGAACATTAAATGAGTAAAACAGCCATTTACATATAAATTTGAAGATTATTCATTACACATAGTCTTTCAGGAGACAAGTGCAGAGTCCCAAAAAATTACTTGTAAAATTCATAATAAAATTCATTCGTAATTTCCTCATAACAATAACATTGACATAATTTATGAAATGTAATTAATTGAGGCTGTTTCATTCTAATTACCATAAAAAAATTATAATATAGGTATATAAATGGAAAATTGATTATTTGATTTCCATGATGATTTCTCTAAAAATTGAAGAGCTTAGTGCAAGAAGGTGTTGACAAAAAAGGTTAATCTTCACTTCATTAGGTTCATTCTCCTTGCCTTATGTGAGATTTTTGACATAAAAATAATAATGGTACTGCAAAACCACCTTAATTCTGAAAATTGTAAAGTTTCATTGCAGTTTTATATCCAAGTTATTTTATGGTCTTGTTTCCTCGCTTTGCATTGTGCAATCAGTGTTGACGGCGAGGTTCCAGCCTTCGACTTCCGCGATTGACATAAAACTACATTGAATATGGCCAATGCAAGCTTTGTCAAAAATATACTTGCAGATGTATAACTGCACTCTTCATCCTTCCTGCAATTGCTACAAGCACCACCACACTGAATAGTGTATGGAAGTAAAGATTAACAAGATGAAGAACATTTTGATAAACAACTTCCTGCACCGAGCTCTACCAAGAAAAAATACATGTAACTCACCTTGGACATCAGCTAAGCAAGGGAAGCAGCAAAAAATTGTAAACAACTGAATTTGCCTGATTTGTATATTTTAAAATGACTCTTTTAATACAACTAAAATTAATTGTAGAACCTAGTTGTCTTTTAATTACAATTGTTGAGTTTTGTTATAGCTAGAAAAATTTGCGTGACATACTCATTATTTTGTTGAAAAATGTTCCCCAGTTCTTGGATAAAAATTGTTCATGAAGTTTCAGGCATTTAAAAATAATTAATTTTAAGTTGCTGTATCTTCAGACTGAGAATACCCATTCTGGATATCTATTGAATCCTATCAGATCCTCTAGTATCCTTCTGTCTTCTTAACATTTGTTGAAATGAATTCCCTCATCCTCCCTAAGATCAGACTATCCCATAGACCCATCTGAGGATGTATAAACTGTGTGGGAACTGATTATGGATAAATGGTTTTCAGGATATGATATATGTTAAAGGGTGTCATGTCATTCATGAACATAAAGTCGACTCGGTTATAGTGAACTTATGTCGCTGGTCTCGTTTCACTTACTTTACAAATAAGCACAAAAAGATTCAGGTTTTGTGAACTCTGAACCTAGGCTACAATGAACGTAAGATATACGTCTTGGAAATTAATTCCCTCCTGGAAAAAATATATCGCTTTAGGATCACACTTAGTAAACTAGGCAGCTCACATGTAGGTGGTCGGAAGTGCGCGATTGCCACTGCTTCACACCCTGGTGGCACCTGCTGCACCATGCGGAAAAGTGATCTGTTTCATTAACTGCTCACGCCACATTGCTACCGAAAGGATGTTGTATGTTATTAGGCAAGTAAAAGGGCCTTCAAAGTGTGGGTTGGTGTTCCAACAGTGCAAGAGGCATTGAAAGGGTGTCAAGACTACGTTATGTCACTTACAGACAGTGGACAATGCAGAATCGAGAATGGAGAGAGCACAAATGCTGGAGAAGGATCTAGAGAAATTACTAATAAAAAATGTATGAGGCAAACATGTGAAAATAATTGACTTTTAAGGTCAAATAAAGATATTGAAATGTTCAGTTGGTGCTGCATTTTGCTGTATCTCTATGTTAATAAAATCTATAATTGTAGAGAAATTCTATTTAATTTTGACATCATCAGATATAGTGAATCAAAAATGTTGGTCCCCAGAAGTTCACTGTTACCAGAGTTGACTGTATGATGAAAATATCCATGCTTCACATGAATTTGAACCCATCTGTGGTGTAACACTTACCTCAGTATGCTAACCCAAGTTCTTGTGGCTCCAGACTGTTAGCACAGGCTTTATTTTTGTTTTTGTTTATTTTTTAAGAACTCTCTGGTATAAATCCTTAACGAAGGTTGAAAAATTTTAATCTGAAAATTATGTATATTATCAGATTCTTTTGCTTCCTTGTATTTGTTGTATAGAAAAAAAATATGTAATTTTACAACAACAACAACAACAACAACAACAACAACAACAACCACTCGATATTTTGTCGAAAATACAAGTTTTGCGATTCCTGTTTTATTTAAATATCTGTTGCCATTCGTCCCCGTCCGTTTTTGCCGGTCCGTCCCCGTCCATTTTTGCCGGTCCGTTCCCGTCCGTTTTTGCCGGTCCGTCCCCGTCCGTTTTTACCGGTCCGTCCCCGTCCGTCCCTGCCTGACGTAACGACTTCACACCTACCCAGCAACATAACTGTGAACCAAGACAAATCCACCAAATGTAACCTCATATCCTCATTAAATAATTGAGCTAAAGCCCTTGACCCTGGTAAACCATTAGATGTGATGTGTATTGATTATGCCAAAGCTTTTGATGGAATACCTCGTGAAAGATTACTCTTTATACTTTACTTCATCAGAAGTAGAGGAAAATTACACTCATGAATACTGTTGCAACGTATAGGATCCTGAATAGAATATACAATATCCAGAACTTGAATGGGAAATTTGTCAGAGCCACTGACAGTAGACTTTAGCATCATCTGCAGCATTACATGGACTGGAATTTGGAAGCATTTCCTCATTAAAAGGGTTATCAACAGTTGGAATTGTCTCCCATGTGAATGTGTTTTGGCCAGGACAGTTGAATCCTTCAAGGGGAAGCTGGATTGCAGTCTTCTCCAATAATGGGGAATGAAGGGGAATTCATTATTCAATTGGATAAAGCAGAAAAACAATTGTTGATATTAAATTTGACTACAGATGTGTGTGATGTAATTTACTTGCAGACATTTAATTGATGTGTTGACTTTCTATATAAGGTTTGGCTGCTGCCATTATAAATAATAAAAATTTGCTATTTAGCTGTATTTTAGACTTTAGCTTGTATTTTAGACTTTAACTTGTATATGCAATGTGTTTGTTGTTCAAAGTTTACTTTTAAGATTCTTATTTGATTTTAGATTAAATAATTGTTTCTTTTCCAGGTGCTGTCATTGGTTTGTTTCCGAAGTCATTTTACTTTAGTGGAGCAAGTTGAAAAGACTGCCTCTCTTTACAGCCGTTCATTGCTTGGCCATCATGTTTGTTTGTTATTGAAAGCCGATGTAAGTAATTCAATTCCTTTTGTATACGTTTTTGTATATGTGTCTAAAGAATTTTAGGGTTTATTTATTTTTGTGTGTTCAGAGTAGTTTATTAGTGCAATTATGTTTCGTTCATGTAAGTTACTACTTATATGTTTACATACTTTTCTCAGTTCTTTTGAAGCACTCATTTTATCCTTCATTTTACCTCTTTCCCTGCCAGGTTGTACTTTCTTGATTATATAGTAAGAAGAGAGAAAGCATTGTAATGCTACAGAAAAAGTGCTCATTTTTGGAAAAAAGTAGTTTTGGGATCACTGATTTCGAAAAAATTGACATTTCTACCTCCTGCGTATAGTATATACCATTCTCATGTACATACTATACTCAAAATTCAATTTTTGATTGAATGTTATACCAAATAACTTGTTTTACTTAAAATATCCATCTGTCTATGGACTCTGAATCTCCTAAACCATACATAGGATTTTCTCTGAAAAGAATATTCTCCAATCAGTCTGGTCATACTCGAGTCTGTGAATTTGAAATGGATCTTTTATTTATGTAACTTTTCGTTGTTACTGCGGCATCTGCTTGCATGGCGGCTGATGGTCTGCTCAGTCATAAGTGCCTTTTGGAGAACAACTTCCCCAAGCAAATCAGTTGAATTTGATACTGGTTTTATTGAAAGTTTGTTCTCGCCGACTGGAATAACACAGATTTTTTGAAAGTTGGAAATCGGCAATTTGTTTGGGCATCATTCTACAACTATACTATTGAAGATAGAGATATTTTCCTTACTGAAATTTGTTCCAGGTACCTACCTGAGAATGATGGAAACTCATGAAATTTTGTGTTTTTCAATATTTATTGGATGTGCTCTGTTTTATTCTCTTGTAAATGCTTCAAACCAATTCTGGCTATGTTTCTTAGTTTTAAAAAGAGAGATGTGTGGGTTTTTTTTGTGTGTTTTTTTTTTTTTCGAAGCAAGTCAAGCCCTTAGTGAGTGAACTTTAGATACATTTTCTCAAATAGGGAATTTTCAGCACATTACTGCATGACAAACATCATAAATCATAAACTAGTAAAGATAATATAATTATTTTTGCAGCATGTAACCCATAATTTGCCCTAGTGAATGAACTTGAATAGTATATCTGTCACTAAAAGTTACAGTTTTTTGTACTGAAATGTCAGGAATTAATTTTAACAGTTTTTTTTTTCCTTTTTTTTTCTTTCTTTCTTTTTTTTTCTTTTCAAATAATCAAATCCTGACTTCGTTCTCATAGTACCTTTACCATTCTAGTTCATTCTCTAGAATATGGCAAACAAATCATTGTGTACCACTCAGAATCGACTGTTCTGCGTTGTTCTAGTGGTACGGTTGCGACATGTCCAGTTTTTCCGAAAAAACAGGCGACCATCTGTTTGGAAGTGCTTCGTGCGCGAACTTTCGTTGGATTTTGCCCAACTTGAAACACCTATACAGTCTACTGCTGTTTACTTTCGGGGTCATACGCGTTAATCCACGATTCTCGCGTTAATCCACCTGTCCCAATGTCATAGACGTGTTTCGAAGCACCGCGATCGTATGTTTTGAGCATTGTTTTCGACTAATCGACACGAGCCTTTTTTTGAGCGATTGACAAATTGTGTAGGATCCAACGCGAACAAATTTTTTTGACAGTCAAATGTTCATGCAATATTGAATGTATGCTGGTCCCACTAATGCCTAAGGTTGTCTCAATCTCACGATAGGTCACATGATGATCTTGAAATATCAGTTCACGCACAGCATCAATGGTTTTCGGAACAACTGATATTGGACGACTTTCGCGAAATTCGTCTTGGAATGAACTACGACCACGATTGAATTCACCATACCATCGATAAACACTGGTCCTTAATGGAGCTTCATCGCCAAAAATTGAATTAAGTTCATCCATGCACTGTTGCTGAGTTAATCCACGTCTAAAGTTGTAAAAAATAATCGCACGAAAATGTTCACGATTTAATTCCATTTTGGGGCCAAGATGAATCTTTTAAGTTACTGTAAACAACACAAATAGCGCTCATATGTCAAAATGTTCAGAGTACGTATAACATCCAACTTACCGATAGAGCTGTCAGTTGCCAGATTGCAACCCCAGGGTTTCCAAATCCCGAAACATAAAAGGCAACTTTCGTATCAGCCGCCACATGAGCAGATGGTGCAGTAACAATGAAGGTTACAACGGGTTGTATACTGCCCTTTTCAGCTCTGTGAGATTTTTAATGATAGCTGTTGTTCCTTTTAAGATATCAAGAAAATTTTATAGCTTCTATAATATCCTGAATGCAATATTATTCCTGATTTTCATAAATTTTAAAAGGTTTTCTTTCGAGAAATTGTGTTTTTAAAAAGTTTTTTTATTGTATGCCGAGAATATCACGATATAAAATTGATATTTAATTAATAATTTGACTACATATCTTGTATATATTCACTAATTTTTAGGAATGTTTATAAGAGGGCAAACAAATTTAAGAAATTTAGGGATGCTCACAAGTAGTCTTGGATTTCAAGAGTGCATTGTTGCCGAACAATCAATTAGAAAATTTTAATATTGTACCTCGATGATGTAGGTACCATGGACACCAATATCCAAAAATATTTTTGAGTTTGGAGTCTTGTCATAAAATCTACTTTTTTTTTGCATGGAATGACCCATTCTGACTGGGACTCACGGCCTCTAACTGGGCCGGACCTTTTCCTGTCAACCGATTTTGGGGTATCAAAAGCCCACAAAATATGCATTCTGACTACCCTACATATTGTATCTATGTACTTGGTGCTGACAGCCCGTGAATGAGCTCAGGCCTACCGGCATCGTCCCTTCTTTGCGGCTATGGATTAAGGGGGGGGGGGTCCATGTAGTCAGCACGTAGACATCCCCATGCCGTATTCCAGTCTTCTCAATCTGAGAAGTGAATTTTTGCATCATCAAAGAGCAACATATACTGGGACTTTGCAAGGAAAACGCACACTATAAATGATCTACAATTACTACAATTTTGAACTGTTTCTTTACCATGACCTGACAATGTGATTTTTTCTGTGTAAAATTCGTTGTTTTTCGGCACACAATTGCAATACTTTCTCTTTTTATGAAATCAGGTGAGAAAGTAAAATAGCATATGCACACACAAACAAGATTTTCTCAAAAATTGCTCCAAATTTATCCTTTTATATTTTTGTTTGAATAGAACAAAAATACAAAATGGCATAGATATTTAATAAAACCACAGGAATTTAAAACATTACAAACATTACAAACATTAAAGCTTTTACATACCTGTCCTGCATTTTCGATATTAAAGCTAGAGATTTCTTTATGCGCAATCTATTCCTTGTTATTAGAAATTTCAATAACATTATGTACACTTTTTAAATGTATGTTCATGTAATTCTGAATTATAATATGGAAGAATCACTGCAACTTTAAGAATTTATTAGAAATGGACTACTTGTGGCACAATTTATTGGCGTCAGGGAACCTCTCTTGCTTCATGATTCTGAGCTCTTAAGTCAAATCCCAGAGTATTTTTTTCTTTTCTCCTTTTTCTTTAACCCTCCTGTACTATTCAAATTTTGTATATGGCTGTACTGCTCAGGTCTATAAGACCCGGAAAGTTATTTAGCAATTAGTAAGTCAGCAATTAGTAAAAAGGGATTTAGCTAATAAGCTAGAAATTAGAAAAGGGGATTTGTTGGATCTACCTGTTTTTAAAATTGAATATTATACAATTATATATGTTAACATATTTGTTTACATTTGTTAACATTAAGATTGTTTACAAATATATTCCACTACTATGAAAAAGACGCTACTTTGAACTTTTATATTATTTATTTAAGGACAAGTTTGGCTTTATTTTTCCATTTGTATTTAGAATTATCTTTTTTATTTTTAGAACTCAATTATGTACAGAAATAATTGTATTTAAAATTGTAATGTGGGTGAACACTTTGCTGGACCAGACTGATCTCTCATGTCCTGATTTGTTTCTTCCTTCTATCCAGGAAGCAGAAATAAGCTTGCCAGTACAAATTTGTTATCAAAACCTTAAGTTTGACTACTGTATTTCCAAATCTCAGACACACCTGTTAGTTGATTTTTGAGAATCGGGTCACATAGTCCCCAAAAGTACATACGTAACAATTCCATTTTTTAGGGTAACTATAAGAAATAGACAAACAAAACTTAAATTTAAAGATACTTAGATAACAAAGTCATGGAAGTATCATAATGCTCAGTAGTCAACCATGCTTATGACAATAAAACAAATTCATTTTTGGGCCGTATAGTGCTGCAGTGTGCAACATTCTTTTAAGAAAAGACCACACTACTCTGAACTCAATGGCAGAAAGCTATTTTCATTTAAACTTTTGAAAAAAAATAATTCCCTCTACTTTTTTTGCTTTATTTGCTTAGGAGTTTTTCAAGTAATGGCATAAGTTGCAATATTATAATAGTAACTGTTTCCAATAATTCCAGAAAATATATGCTGTTATAACTCTGCTAGTTTCTTCTCTTCTACCTCATTCCTTCCATCAGTCTTTGCCATTCATCTATTGTTCTTTTTTTCTTCTCTCTCTGTCTGTCTGTCTGTCTCTGCTTGCTTGAAAACATTAGCTCTTTCATAAAATATAAAAGATATTAATTTTGTATTGTATAGAAGTCTAAATAATTTGTTTATTTTCATGTGTGTGTGTGTGTGTGTGCAGCCTTCCAGCAGTCAAATCTCAGTGGATGGGAAGAGTAATTGTGAATCTCTTTTGGCGGCCCTGATGGGAGAATTGCGTGGTTTCCTTCAGGTGCCTCCAGCATAACCAGTCATTTTATTGTAAAAACTGCTTTAGGTTAGTAATTAACCACTTTGTTTTATCTTTAATTATACTTAAAGGATATATTGCTAAGTCCCCACTCAGACAAGATGTCTTAGATTTTTCACTGCCTACAGTCAGTGCCAATGACTGAAGCAATATGAGTTTTGTTTATAAATCTGATAGTATTTTATTATTATTTGTTTTGTTTCATGTTTGCCAAAAAACAATTTCATATATGCAGAACATCTGTAACAGAATTAACTTTTTTTTATGAGTTAAGTATGTGCAATGTTTGATGAATCTCGTGTCATATCATTGAAAATCTGAGTGTTTTTGTGTATTACCTCTGATACTGAATGTGGACTCTGAAATCCCACATCTAGATAGTAATTTGGTTCAATTATTAAAAAGCTGCTCTGTTTGCCTCAGAGGTCACAGATTACTCTTTGTAATTTTTTTTGGCAAGACTCTTGCAGTCCTAATTCCTTTCATACTTTATAATGACAAACAGGCAGATATTTTTGAAACTTTTTATTATATTATGTACATAATAAATTAAATAATGTCTAGCAGATTTAATTGAGTTTTGTTCTTTAATTCTTCACCTGTTTACTATTGTGTATGCAGCTGTACTAATTATATCAGAGGAATGTAACTACAAGCAAGAAATTATTTTTTGTATTCTTCTTTTAATATAAAATAATATATTTTTACTTTTATTAAACAATTTTGTTTAAACCTTTGTTGCTTCCCTTCCGAAATGTTTCACCGCAGCTGCAGTGGGTCTTGTGGGTCTTTCAGACTGAGCTTCTTTTCAGTTCACTTTTCGTCAGATACAATTTTTGTGAGTGCATTTTCACGCCATTTTGTGTGCAACCTGACTATTTTTATTCTTACTGCACGTTTTATAACTATAATCTTAGTAAATTCGTGGAAGAATTGTTGACACTAGTTTTATTCATTATAGCTAAAATAAAAAATCCTCTTCTCACACATTTTCAGTGTTTTAGATGTGTGTGCTGAGTATGCATTACACAAAAGCCATGAGAATAAATAATATCCAGATTGAATTAAACTTTGAAATTGCATGCAAAAATTCAAAGCGAAGTGGGTCTAGAAGTCCCAAATAGTAAGAAAAAGAAAATGGTAAAAGAAACAGCAACCTGCTAACAGTAGATGGATAATATCTCTCTATCTATAAAAGGGAGCTACTGAAAAGCTGAGGACTGAAGAGAGTTGCCAATCTTCAAAAAATTATTCATTATTTATCAAAAATTATTCTTCAAAAAATTATCTTTCCCCCTTGCACGACCCGGTGTAACACAAGATTAAGAAATATAAACAGCAATTGTTTAATAATGATGAAATTACTTTTTGTGGCTAATCAATGTATGTTTCTGAGCCTGAACTGTTTTGTTGTAGCCTGCGGATGGTGAGTGTGCCTGCAACTGCAGTACCAGTGCTCAGGGTTTGTCCTTTGCTGATAAATTGTACGGAGCTATGCAATACTTACTGTTATTCAATATAGTGACAATATTGTGCATTTATTAATTTGGTGAGAACAGGTACTTACTGTGAGAGTGTGTTTAAATGAACTATGTAAGAAAATTGTGATTAAATAAGTGAGTAATGTTCCCAGTAATTCTGTTTATGCAAATAAAATTATTTTATTTGTTTGTGTGGAGGAAATAATCTGATGTTACACTGAAAGGGTTTGTAAATTCATGAGCAAGGAGTAAATGCAGCTTGGGCATATGTACACCTTTATACCAATATTTTTTTTTATTGCAACCAAAATGTCATATGCAAAAAATAAGACTGCTTCCACTGTATGTATACATTTTTTAAGCAGCAGTAGAAACTTAATTATTTGTTAGAAGTTATAGTTCTCCAGTTGATGTCCAATGGGCTTGTAAATTTATAATCTTTCATGTGGAATGAAGGAAGATGAGTTAGCTACGATTCTGTTTTATTCATCGTTATTAACATGCACTTTCATAAATTGACATTTCTCTTGAATGCTTATTCTTCTATAAGACCACTACAATTCCAAAGAGCCCTGGGTGTATTGGAATGATCAGAGTACACTACATGGCCATTGCAGTGAAAAATATGTTTAAAATACAGATTAATAATTATATAAATGTGATGGTTTACCCACATTTTGATAGTCATGAGGCCATGAAAATGGTTGAAAACAAACAACTTTGCCTCAGAATTTTTATATTCAATGTATTTTTAGTACAACAGTGTATATGTTACTCTCTGACTTTTGAGTTTATAAATATTTACTAATACAATGATAAGAATGCCTCAGTGTGGATGTTGTCTGGAGAAAGTGATATTCTTGTTACATTACAAAGAGTTTCTCTTCGATCTGCATTTAATTAAGAATTCTTGAATAATTTTGCAATTAGAAATGAGGTTCCTGATTATTGTACTTTTAGTAGCATTTTTCTTATATTGTATATCATTTACTCAAATAATATTTATCTTGACTTGAATTGTTATTGTATTTATTAGGACTATATGATCTTGTTTAAAGATGTTTATTAATTCATTAATGCTGTTGAGTACTTCGGCAAGTCTCATCTTGTGCAATGAGACAGTGAATTAGAGTGGAGTATATTACAAAACATATCATAAATTGTTACTGCATAAGTGTGTGATGTGCATGTATGGAGGCAATTTCCACTGGGATTAAATCACATAATTGCTGTTTTTGCTTGTATAAATGTTCTTTGGTAATACTAAGTGAACTTGTTTGTTTTTGAGTTTCAATATTTTTTTAGAGGTATGCTCATGTTACTGTATGATTGTATTGTAAATTTTTACTGCTATTTTATAATACATCATTTCACTTTGCTAAGTAGCTCCAATTACTAGACAGTTTTATTCTCTCATCAGAAGTGTGTGAAAGTGTGTATGTGTGCACATTCACACTATGCAAGTGTGCAATGTTCCTAGACATTTGCATAAAGATGATAGATATGCATTTTAAACGTGCTCTTGAGCTACAGTAAACGTCTGCTCTCTCTATTGTCCACCTTCTGCAAACAAATTACAGCTCGGAAACAGTCTTATAAAGGCTTTAAAATAAGTAAAGAAATATGATATTTAGTTGAATGATATTAATAGTTGGGATCTTGATTACTACATCAACCAACCAGTTTTACTGTGATATGATTGGTTTAATTTGATTGAATCAATTCAATGAACTGTTTGGTTTTACTGAAAAAGATATAGGATTTGCCGAAATGTATGTAATAATAAAAGAATAGAAGAAAATGAAAGTAGTGTGATGGGTAGAAGGCCTGTTTCTTAGATGTCATTAATTTTCCAACATTTTTTGTCATTTTTGTTGCTATATGAAGAAGCTGTTTTGCCACTTTGAAATTTCTGATTGGAATCAAGATTATGGCTGTTAATATATCTTAATAAATATCATAGTATTTACTACAAAGTGATTGACTCACATATTATTGTCAGACTACTTGACTAAGAATTCAATTCTGTTTTTGAAGATGTAATATTTCTGGGACATTTTTGCGACTCAGAAATATTGCAGTTCTAGAGCGACCAATGTAAAGTAATTTTCATTTTGATGTGTTATCCTGTAAAAATGTACAGAGGTTAAAGAGATCTCAGAAAACTTCATGGCTAAACTGGAAAAATCTCATAATGAAGTTTCTACTGTGCTGCACAAACAAATTTATTGATAGTTATCCCTTAATCTAGTACTTTTATGACACTTATATTTGAAGGGAACATGACCTATAGAAATCAAATAAGTGAGATCTGCATTAAAACATAAATAATTGTAACAGAATTTGATAAAAACAAAAATGTGTTGAATGAATTATTCACTTTTGTATTACTGTGTCGCAAACAACAGAAATTTATTCAATTTGTTATGAATGAGGTTGGAAACGATGAACAAATAATTTTCCATTTCATTTGATAAATATTTATGGTTAACTGGATTTGTACTAGTAAGGATGTTACTGCTGCATTATATTCCAATAATGCAGTTTTGTATGTGTTCATACACCATGTTTTGGCTGTCATGAAAGTGAAAATGTGTACTGATAATTTGATTTCTATCTAATTTGCAATGATGAATGAAATTTGCTTGATTATACAGGTAGCTTATCTGCTTGTAAGGGGTACAAATGTGAAACGTATAATTATGTAGAAGAAAGAAGCGTGTATATAATGGGATTTTCCAAGTCTTGATATATGAGGCTTTATTGTAGAACATCTGTTCAACATGTTTGCTAAACAGTTATTTGTTTGGAAGAACACAAACTGTTTAAGTATGTGAACAAATAAAATATTATTTTTTTTGGGTATTTGTTTAATGTTCCTAACTTGTCGCTGCCCCCACCTTACTGTGCTACTTCACAGAATGATTAAAACAAGACTTTGCTCTTATTAATGGTTTAAATACTTGTAGGAAGAGATGGAAATGGAGAATTTACGCCACAAATGTGAGAATATAAAGTAAATCTCGGCAGTGTCTCTCTTTCTACGTAATTCTCACATCTGGAAATGCTTTTTACTGGAACATACGTTCAAGTTGCTAATAGAACGTACGTCCCTACGTTCTAGGTGCTCTGCAGCGCCGATATCTTGGTTCATTCCCCTCTGATTCCCGGGTATTGTACGGTAGCGGCGAACAAAATAGCAACGAAAACTTTAGCGCCATCTAGCGATAACCAGAATTTTGTCAGCCATGTTGGAACATTTAATAATTTGTGATAGCTGAGTGGTAGTTAGTACCGTGGGAAAAATTGGACTAATTTATTTTGTTTCAGTGTGTACCATATCCCTTTTAAGCTCTTGATTTTGTTTTAAACGTATTAGTTGCCACGTCCATGTGATTATGAAGCAGACATCCATTTATGGGCTTGTTTCGTGTTCATTTTTCGAGTTCACCACTTGTTGCCAAGAGGAAATAATATTTTGACGGGAGGGATGATGCGAATCACTGTCTTTCAGTTTATTCTGGGAACAGTGTTTAAATAATTGGTGATCATTCTGCTGTGTGTTCGTGTGTAACCTAATTGTCGAAGTACCTTCTATAACCTTGTTGTGTGAATGAAATAGTCTCGTCATGTTATATGAAAGTGGTGTTTGTTGAATTCTTTCAACGAAATGAAGTTTTTCTCCTTTATTTTTCTTCAAATGGCGAAGAGCTGAATTGTATCAAGAACGCTGTGTATTTTGTACAGTGTAAAGGATGGCTGCCACCTTTGATCCTTATGATAAATCTAGGTGGGTGAAACTGGTTGATTTTTATCACATTTTTCTGTTGTTTAACCGTTCTAACGCACAAATGCCTTTGTGCTAGTTAAATATTTTTAGTAAGTAACAGAAACATTAAATATTTAGCTTGGAGAATGAACTGATAAGTAGTACTTGTAAAGTGTGGAAAGGAGTATTTAATGAAGTTGACAATTTGTAAACAATTAATACCTGTGACAGGTCAGTCAGATCATGAGTTACCAAGGGAAAAGTAAGTTTCTCTGCTTATGGAACATTTGATTATAACTATCAGTTATCAGAGCTTTGTGTGAAAGGGGAAAAGTTTCATTAAAGTAAATGTCACTTTTGTATGAGAGTTAATTGTTGAAATCTTTTCAACCCTAGTGGGAGGATTGCATTTAGTGAAGTTTTAACATTTGTTATGGAAATTTGAGTTTTTGAATGAGGATGTGGTAATCATTTAAATATCTGTAATTGCTTTGATATTATCCTTAAAGTGGAATGATCATGGTATTTCATACATTTTCTTTCAGTTGGTACTTCGGGACGATGTCCCGTCAAGATGCTACTGACTTGCTGATGGGTGAAAAGGAGGGAGGTGTTTTTCTAGTAAGGGATAGTGCAACAATTCATGGAGACTATGTTCTCTGTGTTAGGTAAGTGAGTGAAGTGTGAGTTTTCAAATGAGAATTGTTATTGATGTTATGCAACTTGATTAATTTGTCATTACTTCATGCTACTGTATAATATTTCAGTTCTAGTTTTCACCCATGAAATTAAAATTATCTTCAATCATTGTTATGTTTTCTCTTTCAGGGAAGATAGCAAAGTCAGTCATTACATTATAAATAAAATTCAACAAGGTGAACAAACTAGGTATCGAATTGGTGATCAGATGTTTCCAGACCTTCCAGCTTGCTTGGCATTTTACAAGTTACATTACTTAGACACTACTCCTCTTATTAGACCAGCTCCACGAAGAGTGGAAAAAGTAATAGCAAAATATGATTTTGATGGAAGTGTAAGTATTATGTATGGAAAGTGTAAGTTAAGTGTTAGTAATAAGTAGACTTCAGATTTTTAGGCAAACACCTCTTTTATTCTTCTGACATGGACTCAAAATTAATTATGTTCGTGTTTCATGATATAATGATATTGAGAAATAATAAAGTTAATAATAAATAAATAATGTAGTTTGAAGAATCTATTACAACTTGAGGATGTGTGAACCAGCATTTCACACTGCTTGGGTGAAGGGTGAAGAGAGGAGGGAAAAAGAGGAAATTTAGAGGTCTTAAGGAGAAACCTTCAATGATCATAGGTAGTGTTGTATGTGCTGTGTGCACTGTGTGTTGTATAGTGTTACAGAAATTTTTAATTGAGTGAATTGTGACAAAACAGATAGACAAAATTCAGTGGAAGTGGCAAAATGAGTGCTTTCCTAAAACAAATAAAAGATATCCATACTTACCATCTAGTAGATTTATTAGGCAAGTTTTTAAAGATAATTTGGCCCAAAATGTGTTGGTAATTATGTATTGTGCAAATGGGAATGTATAATGTTAATCGTGAAGGCATGAAGAAATGTAGAGCAAAGTGGCGAGTTGCCTGTGAAAGTGATTGACATAAAACTAAAGACTTATGAAGTGAGTGAAATTCTGGTTTAATAGATATTCACTTTATGCAATATGGAAACACAAACTTGTTTATTGGAAGTGTTTCAAAGTCTCACGGACCGAATCAGTGGTGTAATATTAGAAGAAGAAAAAAACAAGACTCTCTGGAGGCACACACTCCCATCCTATCCTTCACCCTACCTCCTCCCCTCTCCTCAACCTCCCCAATCACTCTTATCTAAGGGCTCTACTTGAACCAACACTTACATATTGCATTTTTCATTGTTAGGGTCCCAAAATGCGTATTTGTCGTGTAAAATGTAAAAAATGCCTGAACAATGTAATTAAAGAAAATCACACGGAATAAACTCAAAAGCATTTCCGAAGAAATTCAGGCTGAAGCAGAAATCTGTAAGAAATAAAAATCCTGGATTATTCTGGTTATGCTCTGCAGAGCGTTGCCAGGATAATTAAAAGAGAGACTTTATGCATCGTCTGTTATCCCAACATATCATGCTCTAGTCTAAAGTGATGAAATAGAGACTGTTTTCTGCATATGGATGATTTAAGTTTACAAGAGTTATTGATGTTTTTGCTTTTATATTTTTATCTGTTCCTTTTAATAGTTCATGCTCATGTTTTTAGTAAAGTAGTTTTATGTGGAATAAGTTATTTTCATGTCATTTTTTACCGCTTATTTAAGACATTAAGCAACCTATTTAGGTGCATCAAATAAGTATTTTAGAGCCTAAAAATCTGATGTCCACTAAAAAGTGTTGTGTATGGTGGTTAACACAAGGTACTTTTTAAAGTGAAATATTGGCATCGTGGGTGAGATCTTAGTATGTTAAACATTTTATTTATTTATAGGTACAGGTAATTTCTCAATACAATGAGAAATAGAAAAGTTTGGTTAAATTGTAGTTTGTTGTTTCTGTATCATTTCAATTTAATATAAATTGTTCATAGTTGATTTGGTACCATTTGTTTTTCATTTTAGGATCAAGATGATTTGCCATTTAAAAAAGGAGAAGTTCTGACTGTTGTTTCAAAAGATGAAGATCAGTGGTGGACAGCTCGCAATAGCTTAGGTCACACAGGCTCCATCCCTGTTCCATATGTCCAAAGGGTGTGTATTAAATAATATATATGTACGTGTATTGATAGTAAATAAATACATAGTAAAAATGACCAGCTTGGGGAACAAAATAGAAATGATGAGATGCGGGAAAAAGAATTCTATGTTCCCACTGCACATAAGCATTGTTGCATGTGAAAGACTCATCACCTATCATCTGTAGAGCTTTGAGTGTGTGTGATAGTGCTATCCCAGTGGCAAGAAGGAAAGGAATTCAGAAAATTTAAATGAAAGTCTTACTGTTATTTTCCCACAAAATGCTCGTGTGTGGGTATGTGAAATGAAACGTCTAAGAAAATGGTTGATGTCAAGCATTATGTTGTTGCAAATGCCTAAGTAATTGGCTTTCATTGCTTTAGTGTCAATTTTATGTAATTATTTATTTTTGTATGGTTTATGGGGGTCTTAGAAGATTGGGAAATCTATTTAAAAGTTCTTGTAGATTGATTTTGTTCCTTTGAATTGGAAATAGTTTTTGTTTTCATGATAATTTTAATTTGTTTGCCATATGTTCATAATGCATTCTTTATCCCTTGCATTTTATTTATTATTTTTCCATAGCACTCACATTTCTGGTATTTTTTTGACGTATTTTCCTGGGGTCTTTTTTTTTTTTTTCGGTCTCTTACGATGTATTTTATGAAGTTCAAGAGCATTGACTCATTGTCACTTTGTCTAATTTCTTGGTCTATTGTAATGGCTTGGGATAATTGTTGATTGGGTTTTACATGAATTCTATTAATTGTGTATATGTCAACTGTAGGTTTAATAAGTCTGCATGTAGTGTTTTCTTTCTTCAGTAATCTTACTATATCTGAAAGGCGTATGCTACCAAATGATTTGTGTGTGTCGAAAAAACCTATATATGCTGAATTACAGGAATGTTTTGACAATTTGTCGAATAATGAAGAGTGTAATAGTTGTTTTTAGTTCGAGATATATTTCATCATCATCATCATCATCATCATCATCAACTACTGCAAGGATTGGACTTGATCAGTCCGTTCTAGCTCGTAAAAACTGCTCACTCCATCCCAGTGTTCTTCCCACATTTCATCTCCCTTTCAGCTTGTAGATGTAGGCAACTTTCACTATCACTTAAGGCATTCAGGTTTTTCAGAGTTCAAGCTATTGTGCCATAGAAGTGTCTATATCTATTTAATTTTACTTGTAATTCAGCTTGTAGATGTAGGCAACTTTCACTATCACTTAAGGCATTCTTAATGTATGATTTTTCCACTTTTCTCAATATTCTTTAATTATGTTTTTAACACTTAAAATTTTTAATTTGTTTCGAATTTCTTCACTGTTCTTATGATCAAGAAGTGTATAACCTGCTATGGTTCGAAGAAACTTCATTTCAGTCGATTTTAATCTTCTAGTTTGGTCTTTAAATAATGTCGAACATTCACTTCCATGTAACAGCTTGGGTAGGGGTTTTGTAGTTTCACCATGGTTTTGTAGTTTCATTATAGTTTCTTTTCCGACTTTATTTTTCAGAGTTCAAGCTATTGTGCCATAGAAGTGTCTATATCTATTTAATTTTACTTGTAAATCATTATTGTTATAATATGTAATTTTATAGCAAAGATAAGTAAATGTAAAATGCATTTACTTGTTCTATTATATTTATTCATAAATATAATAATTCTCTAGAATTATTCTGGTCTAAATTATCTCCTTTCTTAAAAAAGAGAGATTAGAATGCACGTTTTCCATTCCTCTAGGATTCTGGTCTGTTTATGTGTGTTTTGAATTAACTTGACTTATTCTTTGTGTAATAGTTGTCCTCCGTATTTCAGTAATTCATCATATATCCCATCTTCATTGGGTGACTTTCAGGTTTTTAAATTTGGAAATGGTTTGTACAATCTGTGTTTCTGAAATCTGCAACTCTTGTGTGAATATACCAGCTATATCCAGTGTTGGAACATTATCACTGTAAAACAGATTACTAAAATATTCCATCTGTTCCGTACTTCTGATTTTTGTTGTACATCTTAATTCGTTTGTTTCAGTATGTGCATTTGATGTAAAGTGCCGTATCTAATTTTGTAGACCAGATAAGTTATGATCCATCCTTTGCAGTAAAGAATTCCCAATAATTTGGTTTCATTTTCTTGATCTTTATATTTACTTGGTTTCTTATGAGTTTGTACTTCACTTTTTATTGATTTTTCGTTATTCTTCCTTGATTGATTTATGTACATTGGCTTTATTTTTTTCCACTCTCATCTCAATATCGTTGTTTTCTTATCTCATTCTTATTAATTCTTTGTTTTAAGCGATCATTGTATAATTTTTGTATAGATTCATCTTGAAAGGATTGATTATTGATTTTTGGCCCTTCAGTATTTTTGTTCTTGTTTTAATGATCTTGGTGAGCACCAAATTACTGTTGTTTGTGTTAAGCTTCATATATCCAAGATGTGCAATGGAAAATACGTTCTTACCATTTTGTTGGTTTATTTACTTATTACTATTTAAATAGCATTATTGTACTTTAAAATAACAATGGTAATGCAATCGGTGTAGAAATTGTAAATGTTTTCATGCTACATTCAGTATTTTATTTTTTAAATGTTCATATTTACCCAACTTATACTGTTAGAATAATTTTTCCACTTTCTGTTGTAGCGCAAATACCTACTGGTATTTTATCTGGGTAGTAAATGTGTGTCAGATGTACTAATTATTGAGTACATAAAGCATATTCATATCCTAAGTTACTGTTGTTTCGGAAATAAATTTTAATGAGTAGCTCAATAACATCAACGGCTGTAGTCTATTATATGGTACAACTTTGGAAGTCATTTAAACCGGCACTTCGCGCTGCTCTGGCAGTAACTGCGCAGTTGGAATTTTAGAGGCTTTCTTGAAAACTGCTTTCTTATAGAGATGAATTGGTAATTATGCGGTGGATAGACTCAAGGATGTTTATAGTGACTGCGAGGGCGGAAGTCCCGAGCCTCACCGTGACTTGGATCTGGACAAGCGAAGCGAGAAAACTTGCCGTTTAAATTAAATTGGCATTACAATGCAGCAGGGAAAAGGCGAGCTATGAAAATCCGTATCCGTAAGTTTTATTAATTTCTATCAGAGTGCGTAGCGTAATTTGAGTGAGGGCTTAAGGAGACCCCTTCCCCTGATTTAGTAGATCTAAGCTTGACTACTATTCAAACTATTTGTAGAGAAAATGTAATATTCCCCAATGACTTCAGAGTAGAATTACTTTCATTTTGTAAAGGGAAAGTTGAGATATATTTATAAGGGTCCCTCGTGGATAAAGCTATCCCTCGTGGATAGCCGTTGTTCTCAGCATGCACATTATTTATAATGCTCGTCCTAAATGAATGCCATTTGTGGGGGCATCTATATGTATAAAGTAGCTTCTCAGTAAGTGTACTGAATGATGAGTAGAGAATGTAATTAAGCATTTGAGTGCCATTGACTGTCTAGTCATTGCTATAATTAACAACGGGGATAAATGAAAGAAGGGAAATAGAAGTGAAAATGGAAGTTCATTATCTGCTGCTGGTGATAGTTTACTGTTAGTTGATGGGATGTGTCGGTATGTTGAAGTTGTGCTATGTTAATACAGTAGATATGTTAGTTTTGGGCTGGATGGCAACTTCTGGTTGACCAGATGCAGGAGATTCATGGCAACGTAATGGCTGGGTACTGTCTGTCTCTGAATGTACTAAACTGCTGCATAGCAACTGGATCCAAAGATATGCTACCTGTGGGACTTATATTAATGTGTTAAGTTTGGTTGATTTTAATAATATTATAATTTTATCACATTCTTACCTTGTCTTGAAGAAATAAGAGATCAGTGTGTATTCCCAAAATTGATCTTTCTCTTGCTATGTTCAGACACTCAAGAAGAAGGTGAATGGTTGTCGCCGTGCTCCATACTTGGAATCAGTTTTTTACTTTCTCACTCTGCGTGAGAACTAGTAGTATTCTAATCATGCGATGGAAAACTGTGAATTTTCATCTCGAAAGCTCGTTTTGTAGTCAGAAACCGTGTTTTGGGAGTCCTTGTTCTAAGAAATTGATTGACAGCAATACCTCCATCTGTTTGTGTCCTCCTGTCTATTTTTTCTGATATTCAAATTCTGATTTCCAAATTTTTCCTCGTATGTATTAAAGGACTAAAAAGAAAGTGGCACTAGTCTTATTTCCGGCACTGTATTTACAAATATTGCAAAATTTTAACATGTCAAAACTACAAAATTGAAGGTAGAGATTTTGATTTTAACAAAATCTGTTCTAAAAATCACCTCTTTAGAAAAGGTCATGAACAATTTTTTGAAAAACTGGTACTTTTCACTTTATTTCTGGTTAAAATTAATGCAAATTATAAGAATAACATTTTCCCAAAAAACGTGTTAAATTTTTTCTTTAAATTTTTTCACGTGTAAAACAGGGATGCTTAAAAGAATGATAGAGGTTTCATTTTTGTTGATCTCTGAAGTTTCAAAAATTTGGAAATATTATGTTGAGACAATTTGATTTTTAAACATCTGCCCAAATTTGTGTATAAGAACGTCTGCTTCGTACAGAGGTAAGGCAGATGGCGAGTCAACTTGGAGAACCTGAGTTCGAGCCCCGGGGCGGGAAAATAAATTTTTTGCAGGTTCATCTAGTAGTAGTATAATATTGGAAACCAGTCAGAAATAATGTGAGAAAGTGGGTGCTATTGAGCACCACTAGTTTAATTAAGTTACCTTGGCTTAGTGTGAAGTTGTGATCTGATCTGGTGAGGATGATCTGCTTGCTTCTACTAATTTGTATCTTAAGTATTGATAGTTTGTTTACCATATGCGTTCGTAGGCTTCCATGGCCTGAGTCTATACATTCTTGGCTATCCGGGATGAGCCGTGTCTCGATCAATTGGACTGACGTTTCGGCCATCTTGCTGTGGCCTTCTTCAGAGCTATACTGCTTCCAAATACAGCAGTATAGCTCTGAAGAAGGCCACAGCAAGATGGCCAATACGTCAGACAAATTGATCGAGACGTGGCTCATCCCGTATAGACAAGAATGTAGTTTGTTTTCCAATTGGAGTTCCTCTAAATTTGTCACTATCAGACCATGTGTCCACACCACCTTTGTCCATTGTCTTAGCTGTTAGTATCGTTGGCAAGAATTTCTATCTTCAGATTCATTACCTACCCATTCCACCTCTGAATCACTAATGTCACTTTCAAAAACAACCTTTCTTCTCATAACACCCTTTCCTATTTCCTCATCTTAGTCCATCTGTTGCCGCCTAAAAACATTTCAAACACAAGTAACCCAAGCCTTAGCACAAGTTACACTTCAAAGAAACAACAGTTAATGAAGGCAAGACTGGAATGTTATCATTCTGCTTGCTCGGAATATTATAACCAACTATGGTTTACTTCTAGGACTTGGATGATTTGACATTGTTGTGTGAGATTTTATCTGAAAATTTTATTATAGAGCTTATGTCATCTCCTCTGTTCTGTAGGACGTGAAGACACCACACTCTGAGCTATGTGCTGCCATCAAGCTGTGATTTCACAGATGCCTTCCGATGTGTAGGGCTAATCAGTTTCTGTCGCTAGCCGAGTACAAAGGGTTAACAGACTTAGAATTAAAAGAAATATCTTCTATTGAAATGTGTATATTACATTCTACATATTAATATTTTTCTTGAGTTGGCAGGGTCTATCTTGTTTCCCCTCATGTTTGCCACTGAATGTTAATAGTGTTACTAACATGCTTGAATGATTGTTTCAGTATGATGACAACCAACAGTGTGTGAGTGATGGACACCGACCAGGTTCTGGTGGTGGAAACCCTGTGAGTCATCAGCAGGAAGCAAGGCGCACTAACATACAGGTATATATTCATTTGAAACGAATTGTAAAATTATAAGAATGTTACATAGATGAGTATAATTCTTTTTTTTTTTTTTTTTTTTTTTTTTTTTTTTTTTTTTTTTTTTTAGAGGAACCCTTCTTTAAATTTTATTTTATATTTATGTTTTGTTGAAGTTAGCTTAAATAATGCTGCTAATTAATTAAGTGAAATTTGTAGACCAATCAATATAAAATACAGATGAATCCCTTATTTTGATACATTGTCTGTTATCCTGAAAACTGTAAATAATAATTTAATTTTGTTAATAGTGTGTCTTGCATGTGAAAGTACCGATTACCTGAAAAGCACTCCAAGAAATGAGTTGTATGGCAAGATTTATAAATTATACCAAAGAGTGATAAAATATCATGGATAGTTATGTAAATGACAAATAAAGTTACCCAGCTAAGATGTAATCAAGATTTTCTATTCTTGTTTACATTGGTATCATTGCAGAATGCATCCACTTTCATATCATTCAATATAGTTTTTATGCATTTGAGACTTGATAAGATTTTGTATTTTCTAGTTTAAAAGAAGATTTTGAAAGCATCTTCTTTTCTTGTAATTCAAACATTTATAAAAGAAATAAAATTTGGGGAGGGTAGAACGATTCTATTAGACTTTGTTATCCATTGTCCTCAACTGAGAATTGAAGTGTGTTATGGTATGGAAGACTTCATACCTTTAAAACCTTACTGAATGTATAAACATGTAAGGTCTGTAGTGTAAATACAACTTTAATGTTTCACCTGGAGAGAAAAAAAAGGGGCAGCTATGCACAAAGGCAGAGCATGCACTGGACCCCATGTGCGAGTTATTGGGCAGGGTTTTTTTGGTTTGCATGAATATTAGTATTCTCTGTTCTCTCAAATTCTGTGAAAATGGGCATTTGTTTATATCAATATAGCTTGCTCTATGTCATGACATTGGAGATCCTTCTCGCGCTGCTTTACTTTACATCATTCCATACTAGACTCCAAAGACAACATGCTGAAGGAGATGCAAATGTGAGCTGAAGGAATTTTTGTAATACTACAAATTTTAGTAAACTGCATTTCCACAATTTGAAATGTATGGGAGAAACATTGATTGTGACATTTAAGACTATGTGATTTTGTTTTATGTTTTGTGATGTCTGTAAACTTGACATGTAATTTTTCTTTTTTGCTTGTTCTCAGAGGAAGTTGCCTGCTTATGCTCGAGTAAAACAAGCTAGAGTTCCCAATGCCTACGACAAAACAGCATTGAAACTCGAGGTCGGGGACATTATCAAAGTCACGAAGATGAACATCAATGGTCAGTGGGAAGGGGAATTGAATGGCAAGGTAGGGCACTTCCCCTTCACACATGTTGAATTTGTTGATTCGGAAAACAACGATGGTGCTGATGAGAGCTAAGACCTGCCACAGCACGGCAGCAATGCAGCCACAAGTCCACATTGCATGGGCCACACTCATACATGGCCACAACGTGTGTGCGTGTGTGGGGAGGGGGGATGAGCAATGTGTAGCGCAACTTCATGAAGAGGATATCTCAGCTTCTAAAATTGTAGTGTAAGCTTCTGATAGAAACAGAAACGCCACTAGTGTGCAGTAAAACTAACCAGAAAGGCACAGAAAGAAAGATTCACAGTAACAAAAATATAGCAAAATTATATTTTATGATGTGACTGCTGTTGCTGTAGTTTCATACTTACTCACCCTACTTCTGCTTGTCCTTTCTGTTTAGAGTTGCTGAGTCCATTAAGCTTTAATATCATCTTGATTTTTCCTATGGGAATGACAAGAATCTTGAGTTCATTCAAACTGTTTCGACTTGTGTGAAGCACTATTGCACACAAGGAATGTCGGGGCATGAGTCAAAGTGCAGAGTTTTTGGACACTGCTGTGCTGCTTCTGTAAGAATGGTTGTGGCAAAAGGACATTGAATGTAGAGAAAATTGCTTGGCATTTGTATATAGCTGTAAGGAGAGATAAAGCATTGTAGCTGGTAGCAAAAAGAAGGTGCTCCCTGCTCTGGGGTGAAAATTATTGGGAGTTGTTCTTGTGATGTATTTTTGGAGTTTACTCCAATTTTTATTCCTAGGCAACATCACAGATTTATACCTGAGGGAATAATTTTCAGTGATTCATTTATATTTTATGTATTAGAAAAATTGAGTGCTCGATGCTTAAGAATGATTAGTGCTCAAATTCGCCCATAACGCGATTATAGGCTTCTATATTGACATGCATTGGTGCATGGTATGGTATAACTAAGGACTGAATGTATGGCAAATTGCTATACTTGTATGAATTGTGTCAAGTTGTAGGACTGTTTGTCTGTGTGTCTGAAGAATTTTATCTTTCCGAGTTAATATAAGATTATCTGATTTTAAGACCAATTTGTGTTCTTGTGCTCATTGTTTGATTTTCTTTTTGTGTGGTTTTAAGTTGTGAGGAGTGTATCTAAATGTTATATTTGCCTGTATTGTATAATTAGAAATCATATTTTTCTGACTTTATAAAATTTTGTATGTGTTCTGCATCTGTAGAATGCGAAATTGTCTTCACTCATATACTCAACATAAAATACATTAATTATTCTTACTCTGGTCGGAGTGAGTTTTTAAAAACCTGTAAAACTGTATTATAAGTTTATGAATTTTCACATGTACCAAGTACACGATTTGGCAATCAGTTTGTGCGTGTCAGTTTTACCTTATGAATTTATGGGTTGTATTGCAGGAATTTGTATGGTATTCATGTTTCATATGGTGTAAATACTAGCTACTAACTTAAGAACATGATTTGCAATCTTGCAACTGCATGCTTTGAAGCAATATATGCTACATCAAAAGTTGTACCCAACTTCCTCACAAAATTGTTCCTGGCATCCTAGTTTTTAAGGGACAAGTTTTGTGCACTTTATGTTTTAACCAGTGAATAAATATTTTCCATCAATAGTTGTGAATGTGTGTGTACGTACATGTTTTTTGGGACATGACCATCTCTGAGCAAGTGCCATAATTTAATCCAGTGTACATAATTGTCTAAGATAACTGGACAATGTTTTGTGATGATGGATATGTATTGAAACAGAGGAGCTAAAGCTATTTCTTATGTTTCTTTGTTATCAGAATGAATAAGGACCTACCCATTCGTTGAATGGTTCAGGCTATTTCTCAATTATATTCCCAGGGTTGTGGTCTTCCATGTAGATATGGCATTTTTAACTTATTGACTGTGTGTCTTGCTTTTTCATAAACTTCAGGGCTACTTCACTTTGTGGTACAGTCCCAATTTTATTTGTTGCCGTTTATTTCGAGTTTTGTTCACTGTTGTGAAATTTATATGGTTTCCATTCATTAAGTTAATGTAGTTTGTATTTAATTTTGTGTTATATCTTCTTTTAACCTTGTTATTTATGGGTCAAAGTGGAGAGGGGAAAAGTGATATTTTGTATGAACTGGAGTACTGTGAATTTGCTATGCCTGTCTGAGTATTGTAATTTTCACAGTGCTTTGACTGCTGCTATCATTATATCAGGGATTGTTACATTGGCCACCCCATATTGTACATGTGGTATTGTTTGCTAACTTATAAATCTGATGTTCTTCAATTGTACTTTTATGGTAGAGGAAAATACTGACTCCATCCATGACTGAATTCAACATTTGTGATATTCTGAGAGATGTGTGTAATTATCAGTTGAGCTGAAAATGTACCTTGTTGATTATTCTTATTATTCATGTAAGTGAACAAGTACTGTAAAAACTATGTGAGATATTATGGCCTACTGAATGGAATTTTATTGAATTAAATTAGGATGAATTTTTGGCCTCATTCATGGATGGAAACACTGTTCAGTCTTGTCTCGAGATTGGAACATTTTTTGTTTTCGTGAAATGTGCTTCACCAGCACTATATTGTTGGCAACAAGAAAATAATATGAATTAATGTTGTATGCAGTTGTATTAAATATAAACACTACCAATTCCTAGTCTATCTCAGTCCAAGGTAAAATTTTTTCTCATGTTCTCTTAGATATATATGCATTTTGTGATTGTAAACCTATGACTTTGAAACCTGTTGCTGTGGAGATTTTCAGTGTTTCAGTTGTAATGATTCTTTGCTAATTTGTGCTTTCAATCTTAAGCAGATGCAGCCAAGGAATATGTAATATTACTTTGAAATTTATCCCTTGTAATTTTTTAACTAATTTATTCTGGATGTGCACACTGGAGTCTGTGAGATCCCAGCAGGATTTTCTCTCTCTATTTCTCTCTCTTTCTCTCGACGTTTTTCAAGGGACTGCAGGGAAAAATAACAGAAAACAAGGAAAATCTAGCTGCAAAATGAAAACTCAATATTTTGAAAATTCTGTTGTGTTAGAAAATGTGTATATATTATTCTCAATGCAGAAACCTTGTCAAGGCAGCAAGTTCTTACTTTTGAAATGAGTCTGATCTTATACCAATTGCTTTTTTTCTACTCCTATAGTATAAATTTCCCCTCTGAAAATGTGACAACTGCACCATAATCACCCATATTACTTGATGCCCCTGTGTTTCATACAAATAGGCCAGATGTTTAATGTGCAATGTTGGCAAACATGCGAAGCCATGCCAGATGACATACAAACATTATGCATAGGCGTACCTATGCATGAATAGCATAACGCTGTACCTATGCATTGCACGACGACTTGCAGACAGTGGGCATCATTATCAATGCACCCTGTGGTTTTGTTCAATTTACATGGATCCTATCAAGTTCCAATGGAAGGCCTTGTGTACCAACAAAAGTAAACAATTTGAAAGCCAAACCAAATACATGTTTCTTGAGCTCCTTGAGAATGGCATAATCATTTTCACCTACAGATCATCTATGTCAGGGTCTAGTCAGGACATTCATTATGAACCTATAATCATAATAAGGCTAATAAATATAAAATACATATTTGAAATAATTAATCATGGGAAGTATAGAAATTAAGCTGGGACTTATGAACAACAGTGCATAAATGTCCAAAATGTGTAAATGGAATTTTAATGTACATATGTATGACAAAAGTTTCATTTTTCTAAGCAGTATTCTTTATGCATGTCAATATGAAACATTATTTTGTGATTTCAGTGTATAGTGCTCATCAGTCACATGTGCTCAAAATATTTAAATGCTACATTTTAGAACAGGGCAGTTTTATGTTATAAATAGAATACATGATCAAAATTTCTTAAAATTAAAATATTTTCTTAGTCCTGCAGACCCCAGTGTGCAATGTGTGTAACAAAAAATAAGTATGTGTGTGCAGGAATTATTACATTTAAAATAACACCAACAGCCTTGACTGTATCGAAATAATAATAATAATGTAATTAAGTGATAATTATTTAATATTGTGAAACTTAAGGTTTAACAATATAAATTTTTGTGTATAAAAATTAGCTTCCTAACACAAAAATCAAAATAATGTATACTCCCAAGAAGTATTGTTATTCATAATAAAGTGTGGAATTGTATGTTCATCAAATATTTGCTATTAGAAAAACAAGTTTTCATTTTTAAAGATTTTTCCTTTAGTGTCTTGCAGCATTGAGACAACATTGGCAGAAAAAAAGAAATGTCGCATTTCTTGTTTATTACCAACTCATCTTTATTGAGAAAACTTTAAAAAATATTTCTTTATTTCCTCAATTCTGAAAGAATTTTATAATAATGAGAATATAAAAATATACTTGCAATATAGAGCTCAAGCAATTATTATTATTGTTCTTCTTCTTCTTCTTATTATTATTATTATTTACAATTACTATACCATATTTGTATTTTAAAAGTTAATTTTGTCTTGGCATATCTACCTAAGAATCAAGCCAGATGAATAAGAGACCTTGTAATATCATTTGGTTTCCTGGAAAAGAATTCATTCATAAGGTGTTCAAAAAACATTTTCACTATTTATTGATAGTTTTTCTTAAAAGGTACTTGAAGTTCTCTACAGCAACTGTTAAGGGTAGCCAGATATTAATTTTCCCCATCTTTGTGTACTCTGCATTGCTCAACTCTGAAACATTTGAATCTGCACACACTTTTCGGTGCACTAACTTACCCTCATGATTGTGTGATTAATAAATATGTCAAGAGTTGTTTCTTTCTTCCTTCCTACCTTTGAATAGTGGTTATGTACACTTGCAGTCATATCGAATAAATGTATATGGTTGTACATTGTGACAAGATTTGGATTGCACATCAGGCTGTGTTTAACATATTGATACCTAATCAGATTATGATATGCTTGAAAATTAATTTTCTTGTTTGGGTATATGTGTATGGACACATTTTTACAAAGAACTGCTGATAAGTTTTGCATTTGTTTATTTTAACTTGAGTTTGTATATTTTATTGTTTTATTAAAACATATGTCACCTTAATTTTCTGTTATTAAATTTTATTTGGTGCAGATTATTGGCTGACTTATAAGTTGTAGTTTGGCTCATTAATTATAAGTTTTCAGAGTATAAGTCAATTAGAGATATTAATTTTAAACCTGTTTGGTTGCTTGAAGTGTTTGAAAAGTATGTGAAAATGGTAGGAATCTCCATTTACTGCTTGCAGCTTTTCTTAACATAATTTTCTTTTAAATTGTTCATCATTGGATTGTAAAAGATAAATTGATTAATTCATTTCTGGTGTATTGTATTGATTTCAGGGTTTTTAATTTTGGAGTGTTGTGTTTTGGAACTGAATAGAAATCCAATTTCTACTTATGTGCATATATTTTTGTAAATTGTTTCAATGTGTCATTTTTGAAGTTGTGAATAATCCAGTAGTTTAGGTGATAAAGTTTGATAATGGTGAGTTATGTAGAGTGTATTTTTATGACCCTAATCAGCCGAAACTAGTGGATTTTTCTGTTCCCCTTCTCTGCTCAAAGAAGTTGTGATTGAAAAAATGTAGCATCAATTATTTCCTTTGCAAATGATGATGCTCTACTGTTTTTTGCTTCTAGAATATGCACCAAAACGTTATTTTTAAAATGTTACTCCTATTTGTGAACATGCACATTCTGTAATTAGCACAGAATTATTTTCTTTACACTCTGGAGATTAGAACATGTAACTTGTAACAGGGAATGCGTTGAAGACAGTGAGAGATGGACGACAGAAATCAAAACTTCTGTGTGTACTAAAATATTTTCAGAAGCTTAAGTTGGAACTACAAGGAATCTTATGTTAACAATATAAGATTCCTTGACACAAAAATGTTAAGTTGGAGCTACAAGGAATATTATGAAAACTGTTCATGTGAAAGTATGTTTCATAATAGTAATTCTGTGTTTTCATTAGATCCTTAAGCTTTGAAATTATTTGAGGAAATACAATTCATTGTTTAGTAAAGAATTTTGCAAATTTTGTTCTTGTGAATCATTGCAGGATTTTGTGTGTTGTAATATATCATAAAATCAGTGTTAATATGATAATAGGTTTTTGTTTATGGTCTTTCTCGAGCTATTTTCTCAAAAACAATCATGTAGATTCCAAAAATGTCTGTGATGCAATGCAAAATATCATTTTATGACTATGATGTATTGCTGTTAGTGGAACATATAGACCCTAACATCTCTCTAATGCACTGAGGTTTTTTAAAATATTCTGTCAATAGTTTTTGTAATTGCACCAATAGAGGTGTCGTGGCTTCTGCAAATTTTGCTGAATTACATAAGCATTTTAAGTAATATCCAGATAGGAGTTGAGAAATCAAAACTTAACTTTGATTGAAGAATTGGTGTACAAGTGTGTGTGTGTGTGCAAATGGATAACCTTGTTCTTCTATGAATGTGAGATAAATGTCTGACCCAATTAATTAGTTTTAAATGGTCTGAATCTCCAATCAGGGTGTATAATTTCTGTTGTGTAGGAGTTGATGTTCCATTTGAATGGTACAACGATCAATTTCAATCTAGGCTAAGAGGAAGTGGGTGCCTAACACGTGAATTTTATGTGTATTTGGATCACTGAAAATAGGATACTTTTTCAAAAACTGCATATTGCCTGACGTTAATTAGAATACCCTCAATCAAATCATTCCAGTATATTAAGAAATTAATGTATTTACATTAAAACCATCGTAGTTAAGTGTACAATTCGTCCTTGCTACTTGAACAGTAGATGAATTAATACTTTAGTACGTTAAAGTACATTTTGGCTTAGTTTACTTGGTTAATCAGCAAAAATTCTAAAAACTTGTATTTCAATTCACTTTCCTTCAAATGAATTTGTTGATAAGGTGATGCATTTTCTTTGAACATTATGGGCTTGTTTGTTCTTTCAGTCAACTGTGGTGGGGAGAAGTCAATGGAACATTGGAGTTCATGGAAGTCATAAGAGACTATAAAACAGGAACCGGTATAATACTTTGATTTTATTTTTAAAGTTTTGTTTTCATTCATAGTTTATGGCTTTGATAGCACGGAATCTTCATTAATGTCAGTGAATAATCAATGTTGGTCATAGAGTATCTTGGTTCTGTATGTTGAATTTTCAATTTTCTGAATGGTAGAATTCCTCAGCAAGGGATGTATATGATTGAGTTTACTATTAAGATCCTGTCCCTTGGCAGATGTGTGATGCCCTCTTTAAGTTTACAGAGGTTCCAAATTGATGAATGAGTCTTGGAGTTGATGGGTAAATAAAAGGAAAAGGAACAATCTCATTCTCTTAGCAAACTTAAATTTCATACTAGTTTTTCCATATGACCAGTATATTATGAGCTATTAACTCCCATTTGTCAGTAGTCTAATAGAAACCTTCATTCTTCTTGGGTGTATGTTAATTTATTTATTTTATTATAATTTTATTTCCTAAGCAGTTTTTAATTCTTGTGGAGAAAATAGATTAGCTTCAAACCAACATTGTTTGAAATGCAAAGTGGATAACTTTTGCTGTTTGTGAAACAATAGGGTAAAATTCATTTGTATTGCACCCAATTGCCTTGAAATTGATGGTACATGTTCTTAATCTATAGCAAATGTGAACTTGTCCTTAATATCAGAAAAGAAATGGAGTTTTTCAAGTGTGGCAATATTACTGCATTGTGATGCAACTACCTACCTATTAGTGTCTTCAGGTTATTTGAGATTTTCTTGAGTAGAGTATTCTGCTTTATCTACGATAACTTTCTTTAGAGATGGGACAAAAGTAATTTTGGAATACTAATTTTATTATGCTTCCAAGGAATTTTTACACTGACAAACTTCTGCATTAGAAAGTTTAATTTCTATCAATTGTATGAGAAATCTTCCTTTCATACTCTTGTCAGTGATCTTACATGTGTGGTTGCTAACAAGAAAAAATGTAATGAACCATCTGAAAAACAATTCAATATATATCAAAACAATATCTATATACAGGTATCCAGAAAGGAAACATCAAAATTTCAAAAATAAGCTCTTATGACAATTTTAAACATATTTTGTCTAATAAACTATGTGGATATTTCAAATGGCCAATTTGCAATAAGCACTAAAAGGTTGGTTTAAAAAAATTATTTGTAGGCAAAACTTTGTATTACAGAAGCATAGAAACTCTCCAGAAACATGTAAATTCTTTATTTACAAAAAAAGTTAACATATTTGTTCAGAAATAAAAATTAACCCAGAAATAAAAAAGCACCCAATTTACACAATTCGACTGCTTTTTTATTTCTTACTTAATTTTTTCTTTCTGAACGAACATGTTCATTTCTTTTGTAAATAATAAACAATTAACATGTTTCTATGCTTCTGTAATGCAAATTTTTGCCTAGAAATCATCTTTTCAAATCCACTTTTGAGTGCTTATTGCAGCTCAGCCATTTGGATTATCCACTTAATTAGGCAAAATATCTTTAAAATTGTCTTAAGAGCTTATTTTCAATGTTTCCTCCCTGAACATTTTGTATATGTACTTGTAATGTAAGGTTTGTGATGAACAGATGAAATGTTAGACAAAAGTAACTATTTTATTATATTGTCTTTTCATTTTTAACAATTTTGTAAATTTACCATAAATAGTAAAAAGTATCTTCATCAAAAGCAAGTTAATAATAAGTACATTTTTCTGTAAAATTCATGTGTTTATTTTTTAACTCTTTCGAATTGAATGGGGTATTCTATAATGTGTAATATTGATCTAAGCAAATTAAATGTTTTTCTTCTAACTAAAGTGCCAACGTTTCTACAGTTTACTCCAATTCAGAATATTGGATTGAAAGTATTTTTCTCAATGAATTAGAATGTTTGATGAATGTCATGTTAAAACGTGTATAATTGGATCTTTAATATGTGATAATTAGTCTGCAACTTCAACTGAGCTCATGTTTATGTAGAGTTTGAGAGAAGAAATTATGTAAAAAATTATTTATTGAAAGTATTAGAGTTATATTATTTTTATACCGAGTAATAATAAGAGATTCAGTGTTTTCTTTGAATTGCTTCCTGCAATGTGAAATGGTACATCGAGGAATGTAGTCCTGTGTGTTGCTATTACTGGAAACAAAACTGACCTCTCTCTGTTAGTGGGGAAATAGAAATGTATGCTGTTTGAGTCGAGAGAAAATAATTACCATTACTCTGAAATTTACTGCAGTAGATTAGATATTTTGTAGAGGGCATTACAAAGGTATATTTGTGTTGAAATGGATATTTCTAAATCAGTCCTTAGTTTTATTAATGTGTTTCAGTGTAAATATTATTTTGTGATGATACATGCACCAACTATCGGAAAGGCAAGTTCACATTTCAATGAATGATTGTTACATGTACCTTTACATGTCCTTTAAATCTAAGAATATGCATCCATTTATACAGTAAATAGTGTTATGCATGGTTTTGCTTCTATTAATACCTTTCCTTTCATCTGACTTTGCATTTGATAACTTCTAGATACATTTTTGAAGAATCTGTTTAAAGGCACTCTTTGAATTACATGAAATGTTAATGTTTGTTGTAATTATTCTCAAGAAAAATTCATTGCGTCTATTCAGAATTTCAAAACTACATAAATGTTTTTATAGTAAACAATATTTCAGTGCATTTTGATTACAAGATAGTAATTATTTGTTAAAAGGCTTCTATCTTTTCATATACTGAAAAGTGGTTATTAAACAGCTGTAAGAATGTTCCACATACTAACATGGTTGTCTTATCCTTCTCATTGTCAGTAATTTAAAGTCTGGAACATGCGAGAGAGGCTGTAAGATTTATGAATTTAAAAGAAAAGAATACTTGGCTTGTTTGTATCTTTTTTAATATCTGTAGAATGATTGAATTTGGAGGGTGCTGTAATGATTCAATGTTTTTATGCTGGTCTAGCATATTAATGTTCTGAATAATAATACCAAAAATCCTGTACATGTGGGTGTGTTTATATTTATTATGATTGTGGTAATGATTACTTTATTATTACTATCATTTTATATCTTGCATACATTATAAAGTAGTAATATGTAAAAAGTGCACTCTGGCCTACAAATGTAAATTAATTGCTTGTATATGTGGGGTATGTTGCATGTGTTGCTCCACAACACATTTTCGTATTAAATGAACTCGTTTAATATCAGCTTAAAAAAGAAATAATGTAATCAGGCAGAAGTACGAATTTGCCTACATTTATGTTATCAGTGGCTTAATGCATGCAAATGATATTGTTATTTGAAGTAGAGCATATATTACATTCTATTTTATTTATTACTTTTGCGTATTTGGAGTTATAAATCACTAGATAAAACAATTGGACTAGTCAGACATGGTTGTTTTAATACTTCGGACATCTTTCATATAGTTAGCATGTTATAATAAAAAGAGGTCATGTTTTTAATAACAATTGATGGGCTTGATATAAGATAGTCCTATTTTATCTGTGGTGAATGAATTGGCAAGTACTAGTATGATGAGGCATGGCAATATTGTAAAAACATTATTCAATTGGAATTTTAAGTTTCTTGTATTAGTTACTCAACTCTGTAAAATAATTTTTTTAGGGAAATGAGTATGTTAATTTGCACAAATGTTTTGTAAGAAGCAACATGTGCATATATCAGACTTGTAAATTACGGAAATGTGAAGTTTATTTCATGTACACTTGCTCTATTTCAATGCAATTATTGATCTGAAGGACATTGCCTGAAGAGACCAAGATTGCAATGGTTGTCTGATCTCAAGCTCATCAGTTGTTTGGTGGACTGTACAGCATCTAAGTTGGAACTACGAAATATTTCATCATTAGATAAGTGCAAAGTACAAAGCACTCTGTTTATGTGGAGCTATGTTTTTTGCTTCTGCTGGTTGCATTGCCTTCCAAGAGTCTAGCAATGCTTCATGTAAAAATGATCAACAATAACTGAAACAACGTTAAATATCATGGCTGTATAATAACTTAGCACATTTATGATAGAACTGAACAGGATGAAGATAATAATATAGATAGAACCTATGGAATAAGAGGGAAGTAGTGTCATTTTGCGAAGAAGTTATAGTGTAACAATTTATATCTAATGTATTTATTACATGGTTCATTAACATATCAAGATTTGGGACTTTTTTTGTTTGATATTCCAGTTTTTCATTGGTATTCAACCAATTCAAATAAATACATGTTGTTTCATTCTCAGAACAATGAAATTTTGGAGGATAATAATTGTCTGTTCATTCTTTATGATGTATATGAAGTCTGTGATTCTATGTCAGAAGATTGATACATTGTTGCTGATGTTGAATACCATTGATTCACTGGGCTCAGTGAGCCTATACTTGTAATTTCTTCCTCACTCCTATGTTTTACATTCTTTACAAAGCTTTCATGTTCCTGTTTTTTCCTCATTAAATGCTTTTGTTACTTAGAATTTTGAGTATTTTTATTGGTGAATTCTGGGTAGGCACTCACTGGGGGTTATATTACAAACAAGCAGAGATTCAAATTTCACGTACATAGCTTAGTTACCAATGTATATTGCCCTAGATTTGTTGCAATATTGCCAAAGATGAGAGGATAAGAAAGGTAAAAGACCTGCACTCTTGTCCATGAACTATTTATAGCAATAATCATTATATGCAATAAAAGACAATGCAATGAATATGTTCTACTTTGTTTTATTCTGCAGGGTAGAACAAAAGAAATTGCATTCATTAGCAATACCTTACCTAAGGGAGTCAAGTGATGTATCCTTTGAGATAATTTCAAATAAAAAACATGGAATTTTGCTAATAATGATGCGTTATCTTTACTCAATGAGTAATGCATGAAGTACGATCTGACTGCAGATGTTAGACAGAAGAAAAAAATGTTAGTTGAAAACTTGGGAGGTTTGTAATTCAGAATTGTGAAATTCAGTGTTGGAAACAACAGGATTTGTTGGGAATGTCTTGTGAGGTTTCGAAGGATTGTTGGTGTTTTTGGCAATGTTTTTATTTATTTAATGTCGAAAACAGTTAATACCGTGTGATATTCTATGAGAAGTGCAATCTGTGCATGATTTTTTGAGCTCTGGTATTTCTGCCATAATTCATGTACCCATTAAATTCAATTATGAATACGGGGATCAAGGAGCAGTTTTGGCAAGAATTGATATGAAACTATTGACTCCAATGTAATAAAAATTATTTGCAAAGGCAAATGGCTGCAGATTTTGGCTTTTATTCTCAGTGTTTTACATGAAGGAATTGACTTACTTCTGTGAGAAAATGGAAAATGGTTGTGTGAATATCTACTTTTCTTATAGAGCTCAAGAAATTGTTTACAGATTGTGAAGTTACATATATATCCAGAAGCAAAACTAGGGGATATCGCAGCATTTGCTCAAAGGGTGAGAGAAACGACAAAAAACCTGATGGAGATGAGGTCATTGACCTTTCATTTTTATTGTTTTTTATGTATTTGGGAAGAACAATTAAATATATTTCATATTGCCAAACGTGCCTTGGAGACATTCATTAGTGTCGAATCCAACAATCATTTGTAGTAAAACAAGTTTTGAGGAACATGGAAAAAAATATTGTCTTGACATAATTTCATTGAATATGTTGAAGCCAAATTGATTTGTTAATTACAGTGAAATGCAAATAAATGATTGCATGTGGTTGGATTAATGTAAATTCATCAAGGGCAAAAGGATATTACGATTGTGAGCAATAACATTTAATACGTTAATATGCATTTAAAGTTTTTTGTATTAGTTCCCTTTGCATTACATTTTTTATATGCAATTGGCATTCTAATTTACACAAACGTTTTTTAAGAGGTAGCACAGGAAAAGGGATGTATCTCAAAAAACATATTTTGAGTCCAGTGAAGAAATATTGTTTTTTAAAAAATGATGTATTTTTAACTAGCAAGTGTTTCTTAAATAGTTGAAGAGGCAGCCTATGTGCTAGCCTTTGGGTGGAAATAAACGGCTCCACTCAGGAGAAAACTGCCGGCAAAATAATTGTTCACTTTTCACTTTGTGCAGCAATGAAAAAATGTTAAGTCATTTTCCCCAAGTTTATGATGGGTAACTAACTGGCCATCAACCATCATGCTAATTTGTAGGTAGTGAAATTCTTTTTGTGGGGGGTCAATTCTTTTGTAAATACTCTAAAATGCCTATTTTTCATGGCCAGTGCTTCGGGGCTGGTAATAAGTGTGGTATAAAGAAATATAAATTATCGAGGCGAAACAAAATCGAGAATCAAAGCAATATAATGCTTGTCATTTTGTGAAACTGAGACGTCATGAATCAGCTGACTACCTACTGATTAGGTTTATAAATTCATCGTTATTTGCGAATAGACTGTGGACAACTAGTTGCCGCTAGGAACGACATCTACCGGAGATCTCATTAACTTGTATAACCACTTTCTAAGTTCCAAGGTCGCTTGTGAATAAGCTTGTATGTATGTGTGTCAGTAGAGTCCGTATATTCAGTGCATTTGTGCCGGAGTGGGGTGGTAGCGGCAAGCCCAGGGGAAAGGAGCTGACGATCGAGGAAAAGTGGGGTGGTCCTGACGCTGTAGTAGAAGAGTAGCGGTTGTGCCCAGCGACAGGGCACAATAGGGGGAGCTGTCGGTGGCAGTGGTTTAGGCTGTCGCACCGCTTGAAATATTCACCATGATGTCGGCGGTTTTCACGAGATCAGGTAACGGTTTATTTTAACAAAACTAATGCTTCGCGACCGACGTTTGTGTAAACTGTGGTGTTGGCTCTAGATGACTGGAAAGGCTGTCGGGATGTGCGCGCTCGCTGTTCACCTGCCAATCTTATCGGCGCGCGAGCGCGGGCTCCCACAACCACAGGTGCTGCGGCGTGTGCGCGTCTGTCGCTGCCGCCGTCGCACGCGCATTGCGTGGAGGGCGATAGAGTTATGCTTACTGTATTGCAGTGACAGGCGTCGCGCACGTGAACTCGTCGACCCAACCTTTTGTTTGATTGTTACGTTGCTGCTTCGGCATTATATTTGCGATACATATTCAGCGGAGCATCGCAAGAAGTGAAGGCCGAAGTAGCAGCATGTTTAGGGTATTTTTGATATGTCAACCGTCTTCGGTAGAAATGATATGATGGAAATTAAAATACCTTTTTAAACTATTTTTACTTCTGACGTTTTAGCACTGTTTCACCACCAAGGAGAGCGATTGACATAAACAATCGTTCATGGTCGCACTCTTCGTTACTTTAGAAATCGGGGTGCCTTTTTTGTTTACTTTTATCAACATAATGAAAAGAAAAGCATACGTTACATGAACGTCAAGAATGAAACACTCAAAATTAGGATTATTCTCTAAACATAGGTTGAATTTAGATTCGATAGCATGACTAACTATATTTTGCTTTCCTTGTCTAATTCTGTGCAACACCACCCTCAAATTTTATTGTTTTGTGAAGGGTCGCAAGTGGTGACAATGAACTGCCACAAAAATCTGTGAATAGATTGTGTTAGGAAAGTAAGAATTTACTTTCCCGTTTTTCTCCATTTGTTTTGGTATTGGTGTATAGGAAAATGAAATTTCGGAACTTGATACTTACCTATGGAGATTTGAATTGCCGCCGATAAATACAAGTTAGCACTTGGTTGAAATTGTGGATGAAACATAAATAAATCTCAGCACCAATTGGCGTTATTTTTTTCTCATTCATACGCCATTTGTTTTTATTTTCGTTCATATTTAAAAGTAATGCATCAGTCATTGCTTCTCAAGACATAGAGATATTCACGTATGGACATTGATTTGTATTTATCCCTGTTGCGATTGATTCGATTCTTCATTGTGATTGATGCTTCTCTATTGCGGATTTTCGTCCTTACCTAGTTTATAGCTGAGTCGAATTCAACCGCTGTCTGGAGAATTTTTCACGATCGACTTCTCGAATCAATTGTTTTTCTTGGTTTCTGGGATCAAAATCAGGCGAATGCCGGAATAGTACCCTAACAAACGGACCGCGTACTATTTTTCCTTCCTCATCCGCGACCCCCTCCTTTCCTTTACCCAAACACCGCAGGAAGTTTAGCAGTCGACGAGAGTTACAGCAATCGCCGGGATTATCAATCTCCTGCGCCTGCAACGTTTGTGCATCTGCACATGCGCAGAAGATTGAGATTGCAGTCGATTGCTGTACGCTATGCCGTGCAAAATCACCCTAATTACACAACCATATGTCGAGAGACCAGTCGGAAGCTTTGAGTCTTTCCCGGCTGGAGCGGCATCCCGAGAGGGAGATATATTGAGGGGGAAACTCGCAAGCCGCCGTGATGTTCGGCGCCCGATCTCGCGTTCCAGCGGAGGACGAGCGCCGTAATCTGCTGCGATATAACATTTATTAGAATAACGGTCTTCATAGTTGGCCTGCTGGGAATAAAATCTCAGGATCATACCTCCAGGAAAGAACGTTGAAATCTCAGCTATACGATCGGGGGAATAATTTTCTTTATTTTGTATGCCTGGTTGTTGCGAATTTCGTGTAAATTCAGTACTGGTATAGGGACGTAGAAAATTGCGGATTGCTCGCGTCATAAGGCGACTGACCATTCAAATTTCATTGGAGGAAATTGATAAGTGGTGATGTCCTGCTCAGGCTGCGGAAGGAGACGTTTATTCACAAACCACAAACCAAAGAATTAATATCTTGGTGGATAATTCTCTCCCATATGCTCCGTGTGGAGCGAGATCCCCCATTGCTCTCAGGTTCTCATTTCATAAATCTCAATATTCGGCACCCCACTCTTCTTTTACCGTGGTCGTCCTAGATATTTTGAATAGGAAGCTATGAACATGATTTTGGATTCGTATTTTCTAAAAGAAAGCAAGGGGTTAGGAAAAACGATTTTGCATTTTATCTATACTTCCAGTATGCCTTTTTGTAAAAAGAATAAATCATTAGGAGATGTAAATTAGGAAGTCTGTTATTATTTGTACGCGTTGGATAAAAACAACATTTTTAAGATTTTGCTTAATTCTTCCCAGAAATTAGTTGTTTTGCTTCAGTTAACTTTCACCCCCTGCTTATGGATTCTACAAACCTTAGTAATATGTTTATTTCGATTTAATTTGTTGTACATGAATATCGTGGGGTAGAGAACTATGCCCGTATAAAATTACCTATTTCATGATTTCCGTTACTTTCGTGTACCGCTCAAGTATATTACGCAACTAATTATATGTTTAATTACATTAGTATGTTTTGAACACGAGCGAGTTTTCAAATTTGTACGAATATAATATAGCAAAGTGCCATAAGATGCTCTTTTATGAATGATTTCTTGCAACGGAAATGTCGTTCATAATGCTGATCTACAAAACATTATTTATGTAACATCGGAAATGGGGCTGATTTGTTTTACTTTCTTATGAAGTTGTTTCTTAGGACAACGCTTGTAACACTGCACAATTGTAAATTTTCTCAGGTACGACAAAGAAGCTTCCTTTAAGATATGACAAAATTATGAATTCGCTATCAGTTGCAAAATAAAAAAGGTGACATAATGCCATTTGGAGATCAGTGTTTTGGGAATGCAGTAATCGTTAAGACGAACAATATTCCTGAATACTTAGGTTCAGGTGACAGGGAAAACTGTATTTTCAGAAGCGGAAGTGTTCGATTATTGAAAATCTAGATATTTATCAAAGTATTGGTATATGAAACGGTTATTTTTTAGGCTTTTAAATTCTTTAAATTCTGCAATTCTTTGTGTTATGATTATGTACGTTATATATTATAGAGAATAACGTGAGAGTAGGATGAGGAGGTCGATAAAGCAAACACTTTTAAAAGTTGTTGATGAAAGGAAAAAGGTTTGAAATCACCGAAATAAATAAAACATCATTTTTGCATTCTCGTCTTTCTACGTAAGTCGTAAAGGGAAAGCATTGCTATTTTCGAAGATCGCAAAAAATTATCAGTACAAAAGTACAATATTGATGATAATTTTTTCTTCAATAAAATATGTTTAAAAAAATTATAACTTTGAAAAAGGCCATCTACATTTTTTAAAACGAGTAGTTTTGCGTAATTTCTTATCAAAGTTAATGCAATTTATTTTTAAAAATCTCAAAAAATGGCTCCAAATTTTGATTTAATTTTTTCCTCGTGTGTAATAAAAGCAAAAAAAAACAAAACAAAAAAACAAAAAAAAACTGATGCCGATTTCGTTTTCGGCGAACTATTTTCGAAAATTGCTAAAATTAACATCGCAAAAGTGCAATATTGAAGATAGAGACTTTTGTCTTAAAAGTTCTAAAACCTAGGGCGTTAAAAATGATCGCTTACAATTTTGAAGAAGAAAAAAATAGTATTATTCGGTAATTTCTGTTTGAAGTTAAAAAGCTGTTTACATAAAAACACAATTTCTCAAACATCTCCAAATTTTTAATTGTAATGAAATGTTTTGACTACAAATCCTTTTTACTGTTTGTTTTATTGTACATGCCTTTTTGCACACATTTTAACCAGAATAAATGCCGGCGCATGTGGACCAAAATAAATGCTTGAACTTACGAGCTCTATAAACATTGGGGTGTTGCTTCACGATGATGCGGGCGGAACCTTGTGGGTTGTGGCGCGTAAGCAGGTGCACGGGAGGGGGGGCGGAGGCGGCGCGTCATCGTGACGGGGCGCTTCCCATTGCCTTCCGTCCCCTCCCCCCCCTGGCCGACCACCCGTGGCGGGCCGCCGGCGTCCTGCGTGACGATTAGCTTTATCACGCGCGGCGCTGCGGAGGCGCGCGCCGCCGCCGGCCGCCGCTCCTGCGCCGCTCGCTGCCTTTCGCGTGTGCTTGCGCAAACGTCGCTGCCTTTCGCCGCCGCGGGCCCACTTGCCGCCGCGTGGCGCAGCTGTCCCTCCGACTCCCCCCCCCCCCCGTGCCTATCGCCGCGCCGCACCGACCTCGATGCCGCAGCCTCCGGGCGCATCGGCCGTGCCCACTGCCCTCGCTCCGGCGCCGCGCCGCGGCGCGGGCCCGGGCCTGGCCCTGGGGCTGGGGCTGCCCTTTTCCGTCCGCGCCCGGCGGCCTGAATGGGATGAGCGGGCGAGAGGTGGCACGATTAATGTTACTAACTTGTAGAGCAAGGGTTCCCACTGGGATCGGTATAGATCCCCGGGGGGTCGATGTAATTTTGAGTGGAGTAAATGATGATTGGGGGATCAATAGTCGCAGTATTAATGAGCGCCTTATCGGTATAATTAAGATGCCATTGATTGAAAGGGAAATAATGAACTTATTGAACTGTTTTCGGTTATTAGTAGCCAAACGTATAATAATACATTAGAAATACGCTCTTCTTTCGTATCTTTCTTTCACTCTTGGGAACTACGGATGTTGACGATACTCAAGAAACTATGCCTTAACAACGATACTTAATCGCGCAAGAAAGTACTCTCCGTAATACACACTGGAGAAATGTTATGGGCAGTTCTAAAACAAATTTCAACATTTAGTAACTATTGCATTTCAGTGAAAAGAAATTCATCTACTTATAAGTGAAAATGTCTTCGACAATGAAAAATTCATATACTTACAAGAATATTGGTGTACGAAATTGTTGTCTTTAAGGCATTTATGTGTAATTTTTGTTTCATGATTATGAATGCTGTATATTATTGAGAAAACGTTAGGGGGTGAAGAGAATAAGATTGGCAATCTATGTTCTAGGACGTGAAGGGGGATCAGAGATCACTTTTCCCCCAAATACTGTGGGATGGGAAATTTCACATAACGCAGTTACGCATGTGACATTTGTCCGTGATAATTGACAATCCGTCATGCGTGACAGGTCACGTTCTGATGCAGTCAGATATATCCCGTATGCCCGCCAACCATCAATCCATGAGATGTTGTCTATCAAACGTCGAATGTGTAACTTAGTTATTTAAAATTTCCAGCCACATATTCATTGACAAACTGTTCTTATCATGGATTCCCCACCCCAACGTATCGTGGAAGTTTGTAACATTTATTAGAGGACATTCTGTACTGCTGGCACGCTACAATACATCAACTAAAAATAAATGTTGACGATAAGGTGCTTGCATGGCATAAAAACATGATAATGTAGTGGTGTGTCAATCTTATTTTCCCCGTGTTCGTGGATTCGAATCCGGTTGAAGTCTAAGATTATTAAAACGGGTGTAAATCGTAATCTTTCGTAAGCTTTCCCTCGGAACTGAAGTACAGCCTGTTGTCCCTCATGGTAGGTGTCTTCCGTGTTTAAGAACTACCTTCCTTAATGCCTCGTAGTGCAATTCAAATTGTTAATAGTCCTAATAATACCTCCGTTCTTCACTAGATCTTATGGTCATTGACCTGGCTTCAATCGTCCAGGTTTGCAGTATCAATATGATTTTAATAGTTTGATCAAATTCAAGTACATGTATTGAAGTTCAATAAATATCGCAGTTCACAACATTTAACGTTTTTGTAGCCGCACTTTTTTTTTTTCTTCGAGAAATCATATTTTTGGTGCTGTACTCCCCGGAAATACACTTGACGATGTTGATTGCCGACGTGACTGCACCGAACTGCACTCCCGTCTGTAAGATCTCGCTAAGCAAATAACGTAAATTAGAGTAGTTTGGAATTTTAATGTTCAGTTTTTCAGTGCATGACTATGCAGAAGCAGCATTTACTGAAAGCAAATTTTCCTGCGAGGTAAGTCACATTCATGGGCATATTACTGCAAACACCTCGTTACACTTAACGTTCATGTATACATTACTCAGATTATAACATTCAGTACCCCTGGTTTAGCCAATCAGCATTATCCGTTAGAACCATACTTAATTTTCATTTCATTGCTCAAATTACATGGTAACAACGTACATCTTACTTATCGTGTATGTATCGGGAATGGAAGTTAACATGTGTCAGCGCTAACGTTTAAACAGACGAACGGTTCTGTCATTCCGATTAAGCTGTATTATAAGGTCCAACATTTCTGATTCATCATAGATTTATGTTGATTTCGACTATCATCTAGAATATTTCGTAATTTAGTTAAGATATTAATCGTTGCACACGGATATTCTTGACGGCACCTTACGTCAGAAGGTAAACGTATTCATCCAAACCTGGAGCTGTATTTGTTAGCAATTTTAAGTCTCTTAATACTTAATTTACAGTGAAACATTCGCAAGGCATTGCATCGTTTGTAATACTTGCAATAATTATTTTTTTAATGAAATACCTTTTTACTTGCCTAACAACTACAACGCGTACAATAAGAGAAATTATATCGTATATGTTGTTATACATTCGAACAATGCATTGTTCCCAAAGAACAAAGAGACCTATTATTTAAATTGGTAGATGAAGGCGAAGTGTCGCAAGAAGTTCGTTTCTACTCGTACTCAATACGAATACATTGGGCGGCGATTGCCTCTTGCGGTGCTTTTCGCTACTTCTGGTTATTTCTTTGTACAACCCAAACACAAAAAGTTGGGACTCCTTTTCTTTTGTTCTTGTTTTAATGTATTGGTTTAAATCTACTCTTGCTTTTTCGAGTTGTGCTTTTGACCGCGACGCTTGGTTGGTGTCACCTGCAGCGGGAGCTTGTAATGTCATCAGTTCTTCCTTAAATTTCAACAGTGTTGCACTGATTCTCCAATGACAAACGCTATTAATGTGCGATTCTACTAGTAAATTGTGTTTTGAATAATATTTGTTGATTATTTAATAGACAAGAGAAGTTTACTTAACTACGAGAGGAAGGTATTACCTCACGGGCGAGTATGGACTAGCGAGGCATCTTTCTCGAGTATCTTTATCTCAAGTATCTTTATCATTATTAGAATTATTTGATTTGATTTTGTGCCATTCGTTTGAGTAAAGTATAGAATAAAAAAGCGTCAGGCTACTTTCGGGTAAATAGTTAACTGCTCCGCCGCAAGGTGCACCCACGATAATAGTTGAAAACTAGTGGCGCTACAACAGCACGAACTTTCTCGCAATATTGTTAATGGATATGTAATATTATAATATGACAATTTCGTCTTACACTTCAACTACCATTTGAATTTTTTTTTAAACAAACGGAGCGTGAAAAATACATAAATATTTTTAATTCAAATAATTAAACGAAAACTGCTTTGTACCATTGAATTCGGTGTGTTCACGATCTACAGAAATGTACTAACGATGCACGATGCGTATTTAAGACGTAAATAAAATTATTAATTTATATTAACACGATCGTTAGGCAGCAGTCATTATCGCCTTCTGATATGAGTGTGGCGTTACAACAGTGGGTTACAAGCAACAATGACCGCTAATTCGTATGGGATACACGTTTTGCCGATTAGCGTTGTTGATACTGCTAGCAAGAAAATGAAAATGGATAGAAAAATATAATTAAATATAATTTTATAATCATAAAAATTACTCTATTTTTACATGTATTACTCCTCATTCCCACATCTCATTTAGAAAAGTGAAAATATATATTCGTTTTTCACATTTAACTCAATTAAAGGTCGCAATTTAAAATAGGTTTTAAACAATTTCTAAAATATTAATTTTAAAACGTGTAACAAAAGCTCGAATGTAAGAAACGAACAAAGAAATATAAAGTAATACACAAATTCTAACTTCCGTAGCATCACTATTCATTTTATGTTCACGAAGCGCAGTTAATTCAGAGCGTTCGTCAATGTTTGTCGTCAAAATACACTCATATTTTTAAAATATATGACATGAGTTGGGTTCTAATAGTAATGCATTAAAAACTGTAAAATATGTAAGTAATTATGAG